CAGAGTCCCTTTGGCTAATGTCTCGTAGAACTTGCGTTTCTCCCAGGCTTTCTAGATTGGAGACAGTTGCCCTGTGCACTTTCTTATCAGCCAACAAAAAGTGAGTTTCTGATAAATATCCCATGGCCTTGACGGGCTGGGCTGGGAGCCAGCACGACGTGAGTCTGTCTTGCCCTTTCCAGTTACTTGCTTGGCGCTAACGTGTGCGTGCCTTGTAACAGTTGTGTGGACCAAAGCCTCATGTCTCTGCTCCTGAAACAACCATTTGAAGGGGGTGCTGCACATGTGTGCCTGCTGCTCTGGTCTTGAAGGAGTAAGAACCTTCTCCAGGCTCAGGGCTGGGCCAAAACGGGCCAACTGGGCTTCCTCCCAGTTCTTTACTGCTGTGCATGGTGAGCTCCTGCCCAGCACCTCGCCTGCACAGGGAGGGGATGAAGAAGCCTGTAGAGACACGCAATGGAGCACTTCAATTCTTTATTTATTATTATTTTTCTTTGCATTTGTTCTTTTAACAATTTTGAATGTCCTAACAAGCACTCAGACCCAAGGAAATGCCTGGGCTGGGTGCACAGCTTGGCAAATCTGCTTTGTGTTTCGGGGGTGAATTTCCTGGGCCAGGCAAAAGTTGGGGGCAAGCAGGAATAAACTTTGTTCCCCAAACACCAGCTGGAACAGCATGCGATGCTGAGCGTATGGTAAAGGAGAGCAGGGTGACTGCACAGTTCCTCCAGGCGTATCATGTCTGGGTCCCTCCATGCACTCAGGTTAAAGGTATTTTTGTCTCCACACCCACAGCTCTTCTTGCACCAGCAGTTAGTAGTGGGAAGGGAGAGAGGGATACATCAGACCTGATTTATTCCAGCCAGGATCAATGGGATTCCTATTTCTGGGCCTCTCAGGATATTCCATGGTTTGTGTTGAATCAGTGGGTTGTACCCTCTGCAACACAGCTGCATCTGCATACTTTGAATTCAGTGGCAAATTGAAGAGGCTGCATGAACTTATCAAATCCAGTGGCAATCTCACGAGCACCTCAATGGGTAGAGAGACTCGAAGGCAGGAAATCTTTTCTTAATGAAAAGCAAACTCTGATCCCAAAGCTTCCTTCTTTCACCACTTTTCGTGAATGCCTTAATGGACATTTATGGCTCTGTGCAAGTTGGTTCACAAATTGCATCAAGTTGCATGAGAATTTGTCCCTGGTAGGATTTTGTAGCCCCAAGTGCTGGCTGGTGAAAGTCCATTATCTCAGATCTGAAGGACTCGAAAGGCCGGCCCTTTCCATTCACTTCATGTATTGACATTAAGATGGTTAAGTCCTGCCCAACCCGTGTTGCTTTACTACAGGAACTAAAATGAAACAGTGAGTACAGCTGTGGACATCTCTATTTATATGCTACATTTGTAGTATCTGGTTTTATAAAGTTCAGAAATACTTTTTCTTAAAATAAATTTAACAGCAGTGGTTTGCCAGATGCAGAGATCACCGGTATCAATCTGGAAATTGTAGATACTCCTCTTAGGAGCAAAGCACACAAATTGTGCCAGGCTGGTATAAACAAGAAAATCTCTACTAAATAGTTTTGGGGAAAAAAAGATTTTGTAAAATAAAGGCCATGCAAAGTCTGGTCTTGATACAAACACTCAGGTGTCAGGTAAATGTAGCCCCTAAGCTAGACCATACCTCAGAAAATGCCTTCATCCTTACACGCCTATAAACTAAAACACGTAACCACCTACTACTGTTTAACGTAAAACAAGAGAAAAATATTTGGCATTCATTAGGGGCTCATCGGATAGCTTGAAAGGGAGCCTGCAGCTTTTCCCTGCCGAGTATCCCCACTGGTTAAGCTGTCTCTACGCTGTGCAGCAGTGGCGTGATCTCGGCGTGTGTAGGCATGCCTCTCCTGGCTTTGAAGGTTAGTGCACGTCCCGAATGCGGTGAGGAGGAGGAGAAGACGAGGACGAGCAGTGGGTTAGCCCCATCAGCAGCGGGCACAGTCGGGGCTGGGCTTGTTCTCCACCGCCTGGCTTGTGCTGAAGCCTTGGGCATCTTTCAGAAGATGCACCTGAGGCTAGATGCCGGCCTTGCTATCCTCATTGAAGGAGATATTAAAAAATGTAAAATATTCATCTCCTTTGCTTAGGGGGGCTTGATCTTTGAGGAGCCCCTGCCCCTCTGTCACATTTCCCTGATGTTGAGGATCAGGAAGAGGAGAGGGGACGCGTGCACCCACAGCGGCCTCGGTTCCCAAGGGCCACCCTCTGTCCCACCCAAACGACCTTAATTAATAGAGGAGTTTTCTAAAAGCCAGCACGGTTGTTTTGGCTGACTGCTTTGGGTATAATCTTTGAAATGATTGACTATGTTAAATCATGATAATTAGGCCTGACCATTAACCTCCCACAGAGCTGATTACAGGGCTGGGGAGGGGGGGGGGAAGAGGAAGTTTTTTATTTTTCTTAGTGCTATTGTTTCGGGCTGTTTGCAGAGTAAACACAACGAGTGTGGCGGTTGATTATGCTGCAGACCGTCTCTGGCCAGAGGAGATTATTGAAGTTTTAAGCATGAAAACCGTGGTTTTAGCGCACGCATGCTCTGAGGAGATGCTGGGGAGGCTCTGGGCCCATGCCCCTATGGCTGCCCGGCCATCCCCGCTGTTCACTCGCAGCCTGGTTGTGCTGGAACCGGGTCTCCTTTACCTTAACCCTTCCCAACACCATCACACACGACACCTCTGAAGGCCAGCACTACTTTTATCACTTTCGGACTGCCTTTGCTGTTAGGGCAGGCCGGACGGGCTCCTCCCCTCCAGCATTTCTTCAGACAAGCGCAGCACAGCTGCTGAGGTGTTTTTAAAGGGCACCTCGCAATCTGCCTGTAGCCCTCATAAATCAGTTAGGACTCTAACTAACTAACTCTAATTAACTCTAACTAACACGAGAGTGTGGCCTAACAAAGGGTGGCTCTCGACAGTGAGCTAAGATCACTTCAGGAAGGCGAGGAGTTTTGTGCGCCTCACCGGGCAGCTGCCCGCCCCGAAACGCTGGCGGTGTGGCTGAAGGGGAGCTTTGTTGAGGAAAGGAGAATCCCTGCATGGAAAATGAGCTCCGAGCCAGAAAGGATTGGCTCTTCCAGGACGGGAACAGGCCCTCAGCCACCCCTGGCACAAACAATGGGGCCACCGCAGATCTGATTGGAGTCGCTAACAATGAGGTATTGAAAAGGAAAGCAGGCCTAGCAGTGCTGTCTTTCCCCTCGGTTCCTAATTTGTGCTTCAGCTTTTGTTTGTTCTCACAAACCTGCGATGACACAGATGTGAATACAAGGAGGGCAGAAATCTTTGGAAGAGGTAGCGAAAGGCCAGGCAGAAAGGAAGGCCCTCAGGAAAGGAGGGAAACTTCCGAAAATCCAAGTGTTTTAGGTGAAAGGAAGACATAACCCGAACTGAAATTGTTGGGTGTATTTTGTGAAGCTACGAAATGCCCTCTTCCCCCCCCAGAGTTCACAAAACTGTACTCCTTGTTCCACGTAGATGATTTTGTTTTTCATTAAATAAAGAAACCTGTAAACAGCGCCCTTGTACTGAAGAGATGCTAATCTCAGCTACCCCCTCCTCTTCCTCAAAGGCCAGAGAAAGCATTTGGCTTCAGCATGAAGTCCGTGTGCTGCGGGCTGGATCGTACAGACGTTCCCATCCCGTGGCCGAGAGGATGTGCCTGGTCCGGGCTGTGGATTCAGCAGGGCCTGTATCGAGCAGGCACCTCGGCTGTGTGGTTTTTGGATGACAATTCCTTGCAACAGCCCAATTTTGTCGTGCTGGCCCTGTAGGATGGAAGAACATAAAGAGGAGACTGAGAAACAGACAATTTATATGTGGAAAATAGCACAAAATATCTTCCAAAAGTCACGGGGAATAGTGTGGCTAGTCTCGCCAGTGAAGGCAGCGTGTTCAGTCGCTCCGTAGTCGTTGCAGCTTTGGGATTTGTGTGGTGTAATGTGTTAAAAGTTTCATCCGGAGCCGTGTAACCTGAGCCATAAACCTTGCCAGTGTTCTTGCAACGTGCAACGAGCACACCTCTCTCCGTTTCCCTGCCTACTCTGTTTTCCTGCTATCTTGTGTAATAGGAATGCTACTTCTTTTTTTTCCCCCTAGCTCTTTTATCCCTGCGATTATTAAACATTTTACCAAAGCAGGTGCCACTATCTTGATCAATGTTTCCATGATACTGGAAATTTCAGCCCCATCTGTGGCAAAGTAACCTCCCATGATATCCACTGGCACTGGGCAGTTTGCACCACTCCTGGGCTGGAGGAAACCGCTCCACTGCAAATCCCACCTCCTAATGGGCTTGTGTATATTTGCCATGGCTCTGTAACTACATGTGGTCAGTGATAAAGTGGGAACCGAGCCCAAATATGTTAACTTCTTGTGCTCCATGCGCTGGACCCATTGCTCATATCCTTGCTATTCACAACCTGTCTGAAGTTGCTGACAAATGGCATTCCAAAAGCAGAGAATAGCTCAATTATAGGATGTGCCCAGCTATTAAATACAGAACTGGACTCAGTTCAGGTGAACACTAGAGTACCATTGCATAAATTTCATTTTTTTTTCCCATTCATGTCTTTTTACTGTATATGATCTTAGATAAATGTATTTTTCCCCAATCAAGTGTACATCTGGCAAAAATATTGGTGCAAAGTTGTTCTTGTATTGTTGCTTCCTTTTTTTTTATAAATAGTTTAAAAATATTTAATAGATCTAACTTTATTAGTAAAAAAATATTTGAATTATAAGAAGATCTACACACATAATTTTTTGGTTAAGTTCTGAAGATGTCTAATATTGATAAATATGTCACCAAGTTTATTACAGAGATGCTTGATGTAATCATATGACTTTTGTTTAGCTATGTGATGTTCTTTAACATGCCTTGTGAATTACAAATAAAATAATCCCTGCTGGATCACAATTTTATTCTTCCTGTCTATGCAGTAACAAGCGACTTGTGGCCTTAGTGCCAAATGACACTTCATTCAACACCAGACGAGCGTACACCAGTGAGGATGAAGCCTGGAAGTCATATTTGGAGAACCCCCTAACAGCAGCTACCAAGGCTATGATGAGCATAAATGGTGATGAGGACAGTGCTGCTGCTCTTGGCCTGTTGTATGACTATTATAAAGTAGGTAACTCCGTCGTTATTCCACCCAGCTGCACTGGCAGGGGCCCAATCTGAACAGGCATCCAAAGAGCCATTTTTCAAAGACAGGAGTCACTATGTCTTGCTTTCTCTCTGCTACTTGCATCAAGCATCCTTTCCGTTTTAGGAAGCCTATCTGCATCTGTTTTCATGTATTTAGTTCTGGAAGGAAAAAAAAACAAAAACAAAATCAAAATTGTCATCAGTGCAAGCATTATTTCTTTTTCAGCATTGTGTTCTTCCTCTTACCTAGGAAGAACCATGGATGAATAAGCCCCCTTTTTATTTGTGCTTCTTTACTTCCAATATTCCTTAATAAGTGGAAAAGGGGAGACCTTGTCCATCTGTAGGTTTGTCTGCATTTTGCTTCATTCCACACGTGTTTCAGTTTGTTCTTTGGCTGCAGTATCTCTCATCTGACAGTTTCCCATGTTATTTTTATTTGTCCAATGATTGCAGCAGGCTTTGTACAAACTCACAGTGAGGTCTAGCCCTTGCACTGGAAGTTTGCAGTATAATCAAAAGGTGGAGGACAGAAATGGAGCTGGACACAGATCTAATTCAATTTACAGGGGAGCCGTTGACAAACAATTTCAGTTTGTATCTGGTTTTATGCCCAGGGCTTTGCCTACCATTTTGATACTGCATTTCTTTCTCATATATTTCATAGCTGAAACGGGGCTTCTGCTGAAATTGGAGGAGAGCCCTACAGGGCGCAGAAATTTCACTCTGAAACCTAGGCTCACCACTTTGTGCTCTGGAAACAGAATCTGTGTTGCCTACCAAACACTAAAATATGAAATTGTTCATTTTTCTTAAACTACCTCAGTGCTCCTGAAGCCACCTCAGCTTGAACTGGACAGATGATCTTTGAAAGGCAGTAGAACAATGCCAGCTCCCCTCTTAATTCATAAGGAGGTGGAAATGGAAGTTAAAAATGAAAAACCTCTGCTGCTGGCATTTATTATTATAAATGCTTTTAGAGAATGGGCTTCTCTTCCTAGTCTCTGCTTCAATCATTAAATGTGTGTTGAGGAAAAAGGGTTTGTAGGCAAGATGCCATATACCAATCTTAGGATTAAATAATGCTTTATTTCTCTACTGATAATATTTCAAGAGATGTTCCATTCTTTTGTGTGTTGCTGTCAGTAGAGAAGCACTTTTCCCAATGAGAATGAGGAGAGATCCTATTCTCTGCTTCGCAGACTTACCACAGGGCCAGAGTCTGAAGTTAATTTCATAAAATTCGGGATGTGTATGACCATCTGGAGTGTTGGCTTCTGTCTTAGCAATACCCTGGTATCTAGCAGTTCATTAATCTGCTGGATTTTTTTATAAAAACAGAGAACAGCCCATTCCCTTCCCATAACTGTGTTCCAATAAACATATCTGTTCCTCATTCCAGGCAGTTGCAAGAGACTCGGGGGTTCAGATGGAATAAACTGTGTTAATCTCAAAGCCCTTTCCAGCATTCAATAATTACTTCTGTCAAAGTGGGAGAAAAGGATTATTCTTGATGCTCTCAAAGAGGAAGTTAAAACCTAATTTCAGCTCTGTGCTGTACCGTGGAAGTGCAGAGGAGGACTTCCAGTGCACAAGGCTCCCTTGAATTGTCCTTATTTATCATCTGGCTCATTTGTTCTGATGTGCCTGGTAATGGTGGTTTTTTGAAGGGCTTTTTCCAGTCAATAGGAATTAGCTGAATATAACTCCTTTTTTTCCTTCTCCTTTCTCTTGTACTGATATTTACCTAAACACAGACCTTCCTTCAGGGATAAAAACGTGATATTAACATGGGAATCAACGTGTGTGAGCTGTGGCTTGGATCCCACTTCTAAAATACATGAAAGAGCTTTGTTAACCAGCAGGACACTTAATAAGGAGAGAGGATGTCCTAAGAGCAGGAAAGGCTCTGGCTAGCACTCTTGGACTCTGCTGCTATCTTGCAGCTATAGCTGATGTTAACCTTGGCTACTGTAGTGCACTGTATTGTTTTTCTCTCTGAATTTATATGTTTTCCTGATGTTTTTATAAAGTATTTAGAGATAAGAAGCAAGACTTTAGCCTGTTCTTGCATCTATTCTTGCTCTTTAGTCCTGAGTTAGCTGCTGTGATGGAGTGGGTATACCTTCTCTTGTCAAAAACAGTAGAAGTGTTAGTTCCAAATTTACTGCTTCAGCAAGAAAAGAAAAACACAGTCACGGCAGCAGCTTTGCCCTCGGTGATTTCATTTCTATGCTGGTGTCAGGAATCCAGTATGTGGGAAGGCAAATCTGTAAGTCACTTTTGGTGTTGATTTTGAGGCTATTGGGGTCAGATTTGACTTCATTTTTACATCTTGTGGCTGCCAGTGCACTAAGCAAAGCAGAAGTCAGTGTCCTCTGATGACATACCAGGGTGCCCCGACCTCTCCCCGTGCTAGTGAAGAAAAGGATCTGCAAACGTCCCCTGGTAGGAGTTCTGCATCCTCCCGACTGCTCTCTAACAGGAGGGCTGTGCAGCTGGCTCTTGGGGTTGAACTGAAAACCCTGCTTCCTATGGGCTAAAAGGGTCTCCACGCAGTGCTCACCAAAGGTTCATGTCTTCATCCCCACCATTTGTTATCCTGTGAAAGGTGTGCATGTCTGAGCGTTTGGGAATATAAGCTTGGATTTTGTCAAGCCTAGACCTAGCTTGACATGCCAAAGATAAAGACACGACAAAGAGAGCTTTGATCCAAATTTGTGTGCCCAAGAACTAGGAAAAAGCACAATCTCTGCGTTTTTCCCTTTGAAAATTCTCTTCCTGTTCACAATCAGTCTCCCAGAGAAACACAGCTCCTGGCATTTGTGAATTAGACAAAACTGATCGATTTACATTTTTCTAGCAGTCTGAAGTTGCAAATACCTGCCAGTTGCATTTACCTGACCCCATGCCTGATGTTGTTCTCAGGTTCCCAGAGATAAAAGGCTGTTGTCTGTTAACAAAGTGAATGATAATCAAGAAGACCAAGATAAAAGGTACGGTATTACTCCAACTCATACACCCAGGTACTAACAGTGGTGATCGGTTGGGAACTGAAGAAGCTATGATAGCCTGAGGGTTTATGGTTTTCTTCCAAAAGATAAAAGAATGAAGAGCATTTGAGGAAGCAAAATTTGCTCCCTTTTCATTTATTAAAAAATAGAATGGGATTATTAAACATGCAATTTGAAATGTAGCAGAAAGTTTCATGGTTTCTGTTTTGTTTTGTTCTTTTGCTGCTGCTGAGATCAGTAAAACCAGAATATATTGATAGTTGGCTATTGACAGCTTTTCTTTCTTTCTTTTTTTTTTTTTTTAGGGCAAAGTCTAAGTAACTTGGACTCAGTAGCCTGATTTATATAGTTTAATTTAACATAACTTTATGTCCACCCATATGCAAATAACTGTTAAAATTACTCCATTGGCAAGCTTTTGTTACTGATCTCAGATTTCAGCCCCTCTCAGTAGTCTAAAAGTTACTCGATGAGTCAGAGGAAGCAGATTCCTGCCTTCATTAAGGCTTGTGCACCAGGGAAAGCCTGTAGTTACAGAGAAAGAACAAAGTTTTTGCATTTAGGGAGCTATCTCCATGAAAAATCCTAGTGGAGAGGAGCTGCATGAGGTTTATTTCAATGTAGCTAATACAGGACTGCCCTCTGGGGTGTTTACTGGCTGTGCTGTGACAAAGTTTAATAGGTAGTAGGTAGAAAGTCACTGTTTCAGAGCAGGACACCAGAGTGTTTTGAGGGACAGCTTTACATCTGCCAACTCCAAACAAATTCCAAAATCGAGTGTGATCAACAAAGCCGGCTGTCAGTGGGGAGCCGAGCGAGAGGAACCCTGGTATCAGAACAGATCTCCTGGGCTGAAGACAAAGCAGAAACCTACTGAAAGGTTTATAGGTTAACAATCTAATGTCAGCGCAGCTACTGTGAGCAATCTGATTGTTTTCTACAGCAGCCGCAGGTAGAGACGTGGGAATGCTGCTGGGGGTTGCCTTGCAGCCACGATCTCGTTACTGATCTACCCTGATACCATGGGATTCCTGAGCCTGTTCTTGCAGAGGAGCATTGGTACCAGGCTCACATCAGCAGTAGCAGCCCGTCAGCAGCCTGAAAGAGCATGTGTCAGCACATGAATTTTGCTGTTCCTCCTATTTCACATGCAAATTATTTACTGTTAGTGATTCATGCCTTGTGTTGCTCTCTGTGCTTACTTTGTGCCCAAAGGTTGTTGCACTGGTGGATTGACTTTGCATCCAAATTATAAGCCAAGACAAAAATAACCCCAGATGTGCAGAATTTTATCGTAACAAGTCCTACAAGTCCTTGGGACCTCTCTGCTTGCCTGGCAACGTCGTGTGCCCAGTATTTGTTAATGTACTACTTGTTATGGGGTTGAAAGTGCACACATCTCCTTCCCTGCCATCTCAGACCATTCAGCTATCTGAGGAGGAGATTTACTTTATGGGGACAGTCCATAATGCTTTTTGGTTTTGTCTCCCAGAAATTGTCTCAATACCACGGAAGCTCAGAGCAATTTGAGCGGGGGAGAGAACCGCGTGCAAGTCCTGAAGACGGTGCCCGTTAACCTGTCCTTGAACCAAGATCCGCTGGAGTCATCCAAAAGGGAATACAACACAAACGTGTCTGGCAGCTCGACGCCAATCACGGGGACTGGAGTGACTGTGGTAAAAGCAGAGGAGTTCACCCCTGTTTTTATGACCCCACAAGCACACTATGCAAGAGGAGAAAATGAGGAGCACCGAGGGGTTATCTTCGAGCCATACGAAGTGTCCAACATTGCTCCCCACACAAATTATCTCAAAGATGACCAGCGCAGTACTCCTGACAGTACCTACAGTGACACCTTCAAAGACGGAGGAACAGAAGTAAGTTTTTCATCTCCAATTAGCATCTCAGAACTCAATAAAAAGCTGTAAACAAGATAAGGAGATTTGAGCTTGTAAACAAGATAAGGAGATTTGAGCTGTCCACAAGAACCATTAGAAAAACAGTAATGCTATTTGCAACAAAGTCATCTTGTCATGATCCTGTCTGTCTGTGCTCTCGTTATAGGGGGACACCATGAGGTGTTTCAGAAAACATTTTTAAAGTTGCTTATTGCAAACTCGGATGGTAACAGTGATCTTTTGTCTTCAGGGATATTGAAGCAAGTAGAGGATGGTTGCCATTCTGAAAGATCTGTTGTCCATTAACTAGATCTGCCTTCAGACCTATTCAGAGCAGTAAGAGACAGCAGCCAAAAATTTCCCAGTAACTGGGAAATTCTTGATGTTCTCCTCAAAGTGCAAATGAGCAGTGCCAGTCTGTGCTGCTGGATAAACCTAATTTATTCAGGAGCTGTCTGTGGCACCAGGCACTGCTCTGCAACGTATGCAAGTGAGCTAAACTAGTAGAATGAATTGGCTGGAGGGGAATGGAGAAGTTAACAGGCAGGGAAAGAAGTACCTCTGTCTGCTTTTGCCTGCAGCAAAATAATGCATACAAGTCAGAACTGTAGAAAGGTAAAAATTATTTAAGGCTGACAGTGCCTCTGCAAGTAATTAGACATCTTAGGTGGTAAAGCTCTCCTCGGATTTTCTCCTCCTCTGTGAAATTGTACAAGTAACAAACAAAAGCACAAGACAAGCCACATTAAGGGTGGGTGGCTCTTACTGAATGTAGGAGAAATTTGTTGTGTTTTTGTATGCCTGTGGTAGAAAAGTAAGTTGTCCCCACACAAGCAATGTAGATCAAGCCGTCTGAAAGTGAAATCCATTTTAAGATCTAGAAACGTTTCTAGGTCAACTAAATTAATAATTAATGAGGGAATTCCAGCTTGCCATTGCAAAATCAGGAAAATCAAACCTGGGATTAGAAACACAGTTGTGCATCAGCAAATCACGGTATTTCAGCTATTTTTCTTTGTTACTGGTCAACGACTTTTTATGGAAGTCTGCTGATAATGTACACACAGCTTTCCCTGCGGAGCTGCAGCTGAGCAGTTCTACCACCATGCTGGTTCCTGAGGGGACCTGCTGCTGGAAGCTACCCGCACAGACAGTCTGTGCTGCTCAGAGTGCTGTGTCTAAAGTGCAAAGTTGTTCAGCCTGGTGGGTAAAATGGGAACTTACATCTGTTCTCTGTCCTTGCATCTCAAACTCTGTGTTATGGTATCTGTCATTTTAAATTTATTTAAAAAAAATATTTTAAAATTATTGATAATCTTTTAAAACAGAGTATGATACTTGCCACCTAGGCTTTCTCTGCAGCCTGTGGAGAAATAGGCAGCTCAAACCTAAGAGCAAAAGTGGGGGGAATGAATTTTCAGGTGGCATTCTCTCCTCTGTGTCTCCACCTCACCTCTGTACAGGCAAATGAGCTTTAACTAGGTCCCCATCTGTAGCTGCTTGAAATATAGGTGAGCTTAGTACTGCTGCTAGCAGCCTCCCAGCCCAAAATGTTCACGTATATGTGACCCAGGGGAGCTGGAGGAGCTTTCCCACCTCACTGCAGAAACACTTCGCCTGTCCCTTCATTTGTTCTCAACCACTGCATTTCTAAATACTGTAGTATTTAGAAACAAAAAGTATTTTAGAATACTTTTACTTAGAAAAAAAAAGTATTTCTAAATACTGTAGTGTTTGAAATAGTTTTAAGATGTTTACTGAGTGACTCAGTTCTGTTATACTGAAGGAGCGCCGAGTTTTTATAGATCCCTGTGGTAGTGGATGCCTCGGTTGATGTGTGTTGTGTGCTTTTGGTACAGTTTTAGGAATGTAAACATACCTTTCTCATCTCTTTTGTTTTCTTACTTAGCTGTGATTAATTTATGAGTCCTTTATAATGTAGGACAAAATTTTCAAGGATAGGTAAGTAAATTGAATGTTGGAAGGGACCTTAATGATCATCTAATTCCAACCCCCCTGCCATGGGCAGGAACACCTCCCATGAGACCCCATCAGAGGTTAGATTTCTTACAGTATTTAGCTTATATATTCTGATGTGCATTAATCCTTGACTTTTGATCTTCAGGAAATCCTCCTACCTGGTACACATTGCATTTGCACTTCACTAGTATCTTACTGGGTATTTATTGTGGCACAGTTGCACATCAGGTAGAATTAAAAATTGGTTAAAGATGACCTGACTTGAGGCTTCTGGAAATGAAACAGCTTTTTATTGATGAGTGGTGATCACAAAATAAATCCTGGAGATTAAATGTAATGATCCATCAGGGAATGAGAATCGCTAAAAATGTGTTTCAGGCAAAAGGCAAGCGAAGAAGAAAATGCAAGGCTTGTGTAATAGAGTACAAATGGGCTTGTATGCAGAGGCAGGCAGGGTAAAAATCCTTGCAATAAGACTTCATTTTTGAGAAATTCACCTCATTTTGATAGCTTTGATAGGTGTGTTTTCATCTTGTGAAGAGCGACTGTTGGTCTCATTCATCTAGTAAAGTGTGCATTTCACTCCAACAGAATGGTATATTGGAGGTGAAATACTTTCACAGACTCCCAGGCTGGCTGAGGCTGGCAGGGCCCTCTGGAGCCAGCTGGTGCCACCCGTGGCCAAGCAGGGACACCCAGAGCCAGGGTGCCCAGCACCACGTCCAGGCGGCTGCTGAAGGGCTCCAAGGAGGAGACCCCACAGCCTCTGGGCAGCCTGTGCCAGGGCTCCGTCACCCGCACAGCACAGAAGGGCTCCTGGTGCTCAGGGGGAGCCTCCTGGGGGCCAGCTTGTGCCCAGGGCCTCCCGTCCTGGCACTGGGCACCACTGCACACAGCCTGGCTCTGTCCTCCCTGCTCCCTCCCCTCAGGGATGTACAGACAGTGATGGGATCCCCTGGGCCTCCTCTTCTCCAGGCTGAGCAGTCCCAGCTCTCCTCAGGGTGCTTCAGACCCTTGATCAAAGCCTTAACCTACATCAATCTCTATCAATTCCAGCATAAAGACCATGGACACTCCACCTCAATTTTTAGGGCTTTTAGTTTTAAATGGCTGATGGTTTCTTCTGAAGCATCCTTAAACAAACACAATTTTGCTCTTATTGGTCTTTTAATTCTGTTTGTATCAAACTATGCATAATTGCTGTTTTCATTTTTCAGAAGTATCGCAGTGTGTCAGTGGGGGCTGAGGAATATATTTACGAACAAACAAGGTATGGCATAAACTTTGAAATGTTTTGGCTGGCATCACAAAAGAATGTATCTAGGAGGGGCTCCCACCCTCCCTCTTGTCACCCTGAGGCACCTGCAGGCCTCACTTGACACTGACCAGCATGGCTCTCCCCTTCTCCTCCTCTGTGTGGTAGCTTTCAAATCTGATGGGTTTGTATCTTCATCTATTATGTTTCCCCAGCACTGTTTTGGCTTGTAACTCCTCTTGACCCCCCTGGAGTTATGTGAGATTAAAGCTGTTAAGCGAAGCCCCCCCAGGTAACAGGGCAGAGCTTTGACAGCTGGGTCAGGGAAGATCTTTCCCATCTCTCAGGACAGCAGGATGCACAGCCCAAACGTTCAGGATGGCTGAACTGGCTCCACTCACCTTATGAAATTTGGCTTTATCAAATTTGGCTTTATCAAATTTGGCTTTATGAAATATGGCTTTATGTTTTTCCTTCCAGTTTTCCTACATACTCCTTGTCGGCTTTCCGGGAAACCCTCTGTCTTTTTATACCGCTTTTTGTCATTCTTCATGTTTACCTACAAAATTATACAAGTAAAACATTTCTTAAAAATCATGCAAAAAAAAAAAAAGATTTCAAGGATTTTTGAAAAAACTTTAGAAACTGAAATTCGAAAGGATTATTATCCTCTCTGCTAAGCACAGAAAAATGAATGCACAGAATGGGCAAAGAAAGCATAGTCGCTTAACTGCTGAAGATTGCTATCAGTAAAATTTGTAAGCTAATGCTTAGTTTTAATCTTGTGAATAGTTCTGTTTATATCTGAGAGATGACTCTCATTTTAGAAACACGAACATGCCTGCATTTTTTTTTCCTGGAGTAGGCATATGATTGCTTCTGGAGTGGAGGTTTCTTACAGCCTGGTCTTTTTTTTCTGAGCAATATTAAAAGAGTCATTAAGGTCTTTAATAAAAAGTGCTCACTTACACCGGATATTTAAAAAATTGGATTTTGAAGCAATGGTTATCAGGCATTAAGTCTTTTGTGCTGTGACCCAGGTCTGCTTTAGAAGTTAACCTCCAAATCTACACTAAGAAAAGCAAAATATGTCTTTCCTGGGAATTGTGTGGAAGTGGTAAGTGCTCGGAAATGAAAGGTTTGGATTGAAAAAGAGCAAGTGGTGAATGTGAAAGCAATTGAAGACCTGATACAAGATTCCTTAACTACATGGGGCTTTAGTACCCATGGTGAGATTCAGAATAGCATTATAATCATCTGAGTGACTGAACTAAGTGTTAAGGGTAATAGCAGTCCTCCTGTGTACTCCGATTGCCAGCTGGGAACAAGACGAAACTTCCCAAGTGGTACCACACGGAGACAGCAAAACTGGCCAGGTGCAGCATGTCTGGGCTTTACGTTCTGTGAAGTCTTTCTGAAACGCACACATTTCCATTTATAAGCTAGATTAAGCTTTTAGAAGCTCGTAGAAATTGCCTTCATTTTTGGTTAATGATAAACTGAAACTTCTTCCTTTGGACAGAAAGAGTGGACCAGAGCATTTTTACTTCCACCCTCTCTTCATGGATATTTAAAAAATATTATTATTATTCATGCATTTTAGTGCTTCCCCTCCACTGGATAGTTAAAAAAGTTTTCTCTTTCCCTTTTTTCCATATTGCTATGGCAGTGTTATGATGATCCAAAGTATTTGTTTGAACTGGAAAGTTAAGGTTGCACTTATTTTAGAGCAACGTATTCATTTTTTTGGTTCTTCTCCAGCACAATTTAAATACTGTGCTGAATTGGGACCTGTGTGAAAATGCTTCCCCCGTGTCCTTAGTTTGTGGGGACATCCTGCAAGTGCCTTGTTGCGTTAAAAAAGAATTGGCCACGTTCCTGATGTGGCCAAATGCAGTTTGAAGACAAGATTTATTCTGCAGGGCTAACATTATTTTCCATTTAAGAGAATGTGAGGAGCTGCGGGCACGGTTTTTATTGGATTATTATTCAAGCCCATCACTGGAGGAGGCGGCTGGAAGAGGCTCTGTGGGAACTGTGTTCAGCTAGCAGTTCACTTGTTAATCGGGCTTTAAACTTTTCATAGCTCGTGTCCTGCTCCTAAAGATAAAAAGATCTCCTGTGAGGGAGGGTTTTCTCTACAATCTCACTTCAGGCACAAGGGCAAGCCCTCCCTTTTCTCTAATTCTTATATTTTTTCCAGCGGAGGTTGCTTAATTGCAGAACCCAACTAAATCTAACTGTTTTCTTCTGGTTAATTTGGAGACTTGTAAAAACCTTGATAGCATGTTGTCTGCAAGGAAATTAACTTTCTGTCCCTCCTGTTCGTGTTGCTTCTCTGCCCTGTGCTGAGAGCAGCAGCTGCACTTTCTGTTCTCCATGTGCATCTTTTGCAGCAAGTTTTGTCCTGTTCTTCCTGACTTGTTTTTTTTTTTCTGTGGCACTACTAAGTTTAAATGTCTGTGGAGGCAGATGATTTCCCTGTAATACTGTAAATTATGCCGTGTTCCTTCCTAGCACGTGGTGCTCGCTGTGGGGTGCACAGCCTTGTTCTTTGTGATGCTTCTTTCCAAAGTAAGTAAAGCTGTGGCCTATGATCCAAGAGACTCACAGTCCAGATAGTTTTGTGCTCAATCTCCAGATCTAATGAACTTGAAAAAAGGAAAATTGTATTTTTCTGTGCTTGCGTGTCCTTTTCCTGGAAATTTATTTATTTTATTATTTGCTTCCTATGCCTTAACGCCATGTGTACGTACCGTATGCGACATGCAATGCATGGAAACAAAGAGAAAGAGAAAGTGATGTCGATTTTCCTGCCGTTTCTTTCCCTGTCTTTTCAACAGCACTTTTCAGTACACGCTAGAAGCTACCAAATCCCTGCGCCAAAAGCAAGGGGAGGGGCCCATGACCTATTTAAACAAAGGACAGTTCTACGCCATTACCCTGAGCGAGACGGGTGACAACAAATGCTTCCGGCATCCCATCAGCAAAGTCAGGGTATAGTCCAACTTCTTTCCTAGATGGGAACGGAGCTCTTCAGATAAGTGTAGTTGTGGTTGGTTGGTTTTTTATTTTCTTTTTTTATTTTCTTGTGGGAGAGGACGGAAAAAGGTTATGCTTATGCCTGGTGTAAAGGTGGGAGAGTGATGTTGCTGGTGGCCTCGAGTATGTTGGGGTTAATCAATGAGTTATAAGTTAATTGATTACATATGTATCTGCCTTAGTTTATGGTTTAACAGAATAATGATCGCACAGATATCGCTCTCAACATCGATGAACTTATCATTGCCCTGATAAAAATAAAATAAAATAGGAAAACTGCTACATCTGCTCTGCAAGTCCATCTTGTGCACTTCAGCAGGTGCTCTCCGGAGCATTTCAGATAAAATGTGAAGAACTGCACACCATCCTTTGTGACACCAATTTTAAAACTCTGTAAGTGTGAGATTTCACTCGATATTCACCTGGTATACCAAAATGGATGATTTGCATCTTGGATTCTGAAAGCAGAGCTGGAGCTGGGTGCTCAACAACATCTGCCTGGCGAGCAGGCCTCCTGATTTCCCTGGCAATGTTTTGGAGTAAGCAAATCCTAATCCCTGTAACCTTGGAATGAACAATGAGCCTCAGAGTCGCTGCCCTGCCAAGTTCACCCTGAAGCTGAAAGGGCTGCATATGTATGAGGTTGCAAAAGTGTTTCCATCCAAAGAAATGAAGTACCTTCAAAATGTTATGACTCTAGTCGCACAATCCAATGAAAAGCAATGTCAGTGAAGCAGATGACAACCTATGTGCTTCTGTCATAAGTTTGGAGATGCTCTTCTTAAAGAGAAGCAATGATTTGTAAACCTGAACAGGGGTTAATTTTTGCCCTGGTTTCTGAAGAACACGAGGTTGATGACAGAGTTTCATTTTGGCTGAAGGTGATGTAAGACCTCCCTACTGGTGAAAAATCTCTGCACCTGACAACCACCCTTTGTAGTGCCAGGTCTAGTACAGCTGAAAAGGAATTGGGAGCTCACTGATCTGGATGAAAACCAATCCTCACAAGTGATTCACTGCATAGCCACATGAGTTTTGAAGCCGTGGCAGCTGAAGAGATGGAAACTGTAAAGCAGAGATGAGACCGTTTCTTCTAGTGGATGGATGGTTTAAAGAAGATCATGAAATCCCACACAACTTTCACGATAGTGTTGTGTTTGCCAGGTGCCCACCCAAGCAAGCGATGAATTTACTGCCAATTCCATTCAGACCTGACAGAGGGGCAAGAGGTTTTGAAGGTATTAACCCTCTACAAGTTCCACGTTAGTGGTTCCTAGAGGAAAAAGACTCAAATGAATGCTGCCCTTGATGGAAAAGCTACAGTCTGAGCTGCTGGTTCTGCTGAGTGTATGAGCTGAGCAGCTAGCACACACCTGCTGGCCAGCCAGCGTGCATGTCAATTCTGATCTAGTTCCTTGCTTATGAAATAATTTGTTTGTATTTTTTAAGAACCTGGTGACTCAGGGCTAAAGGAAGAATGGAAGCAAAAGATGTTCACAAGTTAATTTTTTTGTCCTCCATGATTTCTTTTCTTTGCAGGTTACCTAGCACAAGAATTTTTTATCGTTTTGTATTTTGTTTTTAATTTTGTTTGACTACAGAAGGGGGCTCCTGTGAAAAAGCCTCCATTACTCATGTGAAGTTTTGCATAAAATTTCAATCTGTTTCCTTTGAAACACGCGGTTTAAATGAGGGGAATCCAGAACTTAAACTGAAAAGCTCAGTAAATGTTCACACTGAATTTATCATTGAATGCATGCATGCAAGAGCCCTGTTCCTAAGAAGGGTATTTGGACTACACGCTAAAGCTGTATATTCATGGAAGAAGATAAAGAAAAGCATCAACATTGCCACCACTCATTAATTATGCTCTAATACTTCTATTTTACGGAATAAAAATTGTGTGAGTTTTTGGCTTTTGCAGCAAGTTACCTGTTACATTTTTTGTCAGGACCTATTATTATTCATGTAACCCACACAAATTGGGTTCTCCTCTTAACTCCCCAAAGCACGAAGATACCCCATGAGACTTCCCTCTGAAGTTCTTGTTCCTCCCTGGCATTGTCACCAGTAACCCATGCACGGCTGAACTGCTCTTTGAAAATGTCCTGCCTTTACCCAGGAAGCCGGAGCTTCATAACGACACCACCATTGCTCTAAAACTGCATTTCTCCTAGGAAATATTCCATTCTTGGGCTGGAATAAAAAACAACCATCTTTTACAATCCAAGTGCTGTGGGAGGGCAGTGAGTGGATCAGCATTAGAAGCGTATGGGAGAGTTTAACTTTTGTGGGTTTTGCCTATTAATTACCTACTAACTAATGCACCTTCTGCTGTTGATTTTCTTAGAGCGTGGTCATGGTTGTTTTTAGTGAGGATAAAAACAGAGACGAGCAGCTGAAATACTGGAAATACTGGCACTCCCGGCAACACACGGCAAAGCAGAGGGTCCTTGACATTGGTACGTATGAGAAGACGTTTTGGAGAAGATGGCAGAGTGTGTGGAAAGTCCTGGTACCTTGCAGAAGGATGCAGTGGGATGCATTGGCAATGTGTGCATGGCTTGCATGTGTGCATTGTATATATGGTCTAGGAAGCAGGGAGGAGACCATGCAGAAGGAATGGTCCAAAGTAATTGCAAAGAAAATCTACTTGCACATGTATTTGTTATTGTTCCCTCTTCTGCTGCTGGGAAATCAATGTCTTTGCCTCCTCAGCAGTGTCTGTTTCTTTTTGTTTCTCAAAGGTTGATCCATTCTTTGACCACGTATCAGTTCTGTTAGCTAGTCAGGAGGCTTTCCAGCCCAGGAAGATGTGAGTGTTTTGGGGCTGTGTCGCTGCACGAGCCCCAGTGTTGTGTAAGCCCATCCTGAGAGCTGAGATGCCATCACGATGGTGACAGCAAATGAGCTCCCAGGACTCCCACACCTCCCATTTTTTGAGTCTTGTCGGGTTTCGGAGAGAAACAAGGGAGAAACCCCGAGCCCTGGTGTGCTATCCTGAGGGACCTGCTCACTGCCATCCCACCTGAGGTATTTACAAGCCCATTTCAGTCCCAACTGCCCTATCTGCATGCTTGGGAGATTGGAGCAGAGGGAGAACACGTCCCTGCTGCCAAGGAGCCTGCAGTCGAAGCCTGTGGGAGTGTCTAGACATCAAGCACTTCTCCCCTCCCACGGGCAGTTTACACAGCAGCCATCTGCAGCCGATCCCAGTCAGACCAAAGCAGACAAAGTCTATCTTGTTTTCACCGCCTGAGGGAACCAAACCATTGAATGGTAGGAATGAGAGGGGGTGGTGGCGGTGGTGGGATCAGGCTGACTGCTGATAGCACCCAGGAGAGCACTGCAGGAATTTAGGGGTGACAACACCAGCACTGGGAAGCAGTCCCAAAGTGGCCCCAGCCCAAATGACTCCTCTCATGACACATTGAAAGAGTGAATGTGTCATGTCAGGGCTGTTTTTGAAGGCTGTTTTGAAGGGTTTCTAGTCCCTGAAAGCTTGCAGTACTCATGCCTCCGAAGGTATGTGCTGGGGAGCTCCTTGCATGGCAGTGCCAACACCCTCACCGTGTGATTCGATGAAGATTTCCCTTTAGGTTAAGAATTCAGCCCAAGATGCTTGAAGAGCTCCTGTGAAGGACTGGATGTCCACACCCCCTGTAGTTAGCAGGGAGAATTGGGTGTCCATGAGTGAGACAGCAAATGCCAGGATGCTCCCTGGGGAGTGTTTAAGCAGGCAGTGGGAGAGGCTTGCTAAGTGTGGGGGTGTGTATCAGACCTGTCCCATCTTCAGGGGGCGGTCTGGCAATATCTGCTGGTAGTTCTTTGGGATCTCACCCCCACTATCAACATATAGAGGGTTAAGTATGTATTAGGCTCCTTTAAAACTATCTGTGAATAGCCTTTTTGGCTTTTTGCTGCTATAGATTTTTGTGAAGAAGGAGGCACTTTGATTGTTTTTACCAGCAGAAATGAGAAATATTGCTGACACCCTGCTGTGTTGTGATACTGGGCCACTAGCTTTTTATTTTAATAAAATCGAATGAAGAATACAATATTGGATTACGTCAAATATTGATTTTTCGGAATCAGTACCATAAACTGACAACTACTGGAGCAGCTTCAAACGTGAACATAGAGAGTGTGTGCTTTAGATTGGTTAACTGTGCTCCAGAGTTTTACCCCTGCATTTTCTAGGAAAGTTTGTATTATTTATGTGCTCAATACAAATCCTACTACAATGGTATGTAATGCAAGAAAGTGATTAGCACCTAATGTTGAAATTTGCCATCGTTTAATATGGAGCTTACCCAACAAACTAGGAAATATTTCCCGTAGAGCTGTTTTCTTGCATACCAAAGAACCCCAAGTTTCTATTTCTGGTAACTCACAGCAGCAGAAGAGGAACAATAACAGTCCTGCTAACAACTTCCAAATATCCTTGGATGTAAATGCCTGTTTAATCTACAAAGGATCTCTCTTTAATTATGTGTAAATCGAGGGGAATGGAAAGGAATTCTGCTTTCCAGCAGCGCGTCTCACACACACAGTCCAGGAGATTTGTGTATGGCAATTAAGGAAGTGGGGGCATGTCTTGGGGGAAGGGAATGGGAAGGTTGGTGGGATGCTGGGATCTGACAGCCTTTTATGAGAAGAAAACACGTGTCTTTACAAGACATCTTGTTCATGTCTTTCCAAAGAGCACCTACACAGCACGCCCATATGCAGCAGTCAGTTACACGAGGCACTTTCTGGTGAATCATAAATTTAAGGGGTGGGTGGATGTGTGCACATGCATATTAAACCACTTCTGTGTCTTCTAATTCCTCTCATTTGCATTCCCACACTGAATTTAGAGAGTGAAGCCAATGACTTCAGTTAGAGAGGGGATCTGAGTTCATGGTGGGAATGGAAAGCCCGCCAGCAAACACCATGGTCAGCTGCTGCATCACCTTAAAGTGCCTCTGGATTCCTACCATAGCCCAAATCACTCAGGTGTCCCAGGAACACAGCTTCACTTGCTCAGTGAAATGCCAGCATCCCTGTGCTTCAGATGAGAGAAAATGTACTAGCTGCACATCTCTCGTGCTAAAGCATTCTTCTTGCAGGAGTGTTTTTGTTGAAAGTGCTTTTAATGCTCTTATTGCCAATAAATTACTTTTAGAGACCAAGAGGGTATTTTCAGGAAGGCAAAGGAAATGCATATCAAAACCATTCAGTTCTCTCATTTGTAGAATACAGAAACATCCTCTTTCTATAGCTGAATACAACACTAAGAATCAGCATGTTTCTGAAGTGCAGATTTGGGCAAAAGTTGAAATGACAGAGATTGCTGCATCATCTAACCTCAGTCCTTTGGCACCGAGTCCAGTTGCAGCCCTCAAGGGATGCTAAGGAGATACATAGGGCCTAGAGAAAGCTGCTGCATTTTCTTGAAGAATCTGGAAGTTCCTTTAATCAAGCAGCTATTACTTCCTTATAAACAGGGTGTTTCTCTTAATCTGCCATCAAAGAGAACAAAGTGTGTTAAACTGGCTGGTAAAGGGAGTGCAAAAGTGGGCCTGCCTTGCTTTTCGATTAGAAAGAGCCACAAATCATCTTCCTTACATGTTTTTCTCCCCTTTTTCTCCTCTTAATGTTTGTTGTTGTTGTTTTTCATGCTTTCATTGTCTTTGAAATTCAGACTTCCACCCTCTTGCTTTTGATTCCTTCTGTAATTTTAATTATTTGGTAATACCACATCAACTGTACGTGAGAATTACGTGAGAAGAGGGTGCTGATTTTGTATTCAATTTAACAATTGTTTACATTTTTATTATCTATTTTACTCTTGGATACACTTTGGAGAAAAGATCTCTGTGTTTTAATTATTTTATTAAATAGAGATCCAGCCCCCAGTGCAGTAATTCTGAAGAAAGTTTGAAACTATTGGGCAAGAAATGTAGCCTACTGATTATTTCCTCCACTGATAACTGTTAGCCTGTTAGAAAGCTTCTTTAGCTTTACCAAAATGTCATTTATTTATGTCAAGCTTTCAAGATTTTTTTTTAAATTTTTAAAAGGCTTTTAGTTAATTTTCCAATTTTGGCCATTCCTTGGCCAAGCTAATGAACCCACTCTTTTCCAGTGCAGTCACAGTGATTTCTTTTTTGAAAGCAAGCAGTATTTTGCAAGAACATCAGCTAGGAATGTATTAGACATGAACTCAAGTTGCAGTATAGTACCTCTTTGCAGTTAAGCTTACTGATAACTTCAGTAGTTCAAAACTTCATGAGATTTGTTGTTTGTTGTTTCTTACAGCTGATTACAAGGAGAGTTTTAACACCATTGGGAACATCGAAGAAATCGCGTTCAATGCTGTGTCCTTTACTTGGGATGTCAATGAGGAGGCGAAGGTGAGGAAAAGCCATGCAGATGGTATCACTTTATAAGTACCATCCTCAGCCACTGTTCCACTTCTCTCCTGTTTAATAAGAAGGGTAGATGGAGGTGAGGGAGCTCTGTCTCCTCAAATCCGTGGTGCTTCTCTGACACCAGGGATTCTGGCCATCCAGAAAAGCTCTGGTATGTCAGAGCTGTCAGGATGATGTCGTGGCCATGTCCGTGTCACTGTCAAATAAAGGTAGATGTGGTTCTGAGGAGAACCTGTGGAGCTGTCAGAACAGAGTTTCTTACTAGTGAGAAAAATTAAAAGTTATTTTTCTTACTTGTTAACTCAGTGTCAACCATAAGGCACATTTTCCCATTCTTTAAATTAGCATCTTCCTTTCTATACTTTTAACATCTCCATATTCTGTAATACTCATCTCAATATTGTGTAAGCTAGACTGTTTTTCCTTGTGTTTGTGCCATTTTTTTCTATAGTGTTACGCAGACTGTCCTTGCAAGGGGAAATGAGCCTGTTTTTGAGAACTGGCTTTAAATGGTCAGATACCCTCATACGTGGGGTTTTACATTCAGGGCTGTGACTGCAGTAGTGAAGTTATAAACCAGGACATCAGAGCACCTTAAGAAGTGCCTTATAGATAAAGGCATCAAAAGAGTAGCAGTGTTTTAGCTGCATGGACCCAGCGCAGGAGAAATGAAAAGCTGCAGGTAATTATGAGAAGAAGTTTGCCTCCAGAAAGCAAACAGAAATTAGTCGGTGTAAAATGAGTAGGGGTAATGAGGGACTGTCGGGCTTAAAAATAACAAACAGCCAACACTGTCCAGCAGAACAAACTCCTCGTACTGTTGTCACGTTGAATACAAAATGCCCAACATTCAAGGATATCTCAAATACGGATATCCCCTACTCTGTGATTCCTTTTCAAAATACAGCAGTAAGTTGTCCCCTGCAGTCACAACAGATGACTGCTGTGTGCACGTGGTCATTATGCACATTAAGCAGATGTGGCAGCTCATTTGGCATCTCCAGCATGATGGACTTTCACGAGGGCCTTCACAGAAGCACTAAGGAAACAGTTTGCACTATGACCACCAGAAATGCAGCACAGGAAGATTTTAAAACAATGACTTATTGTTGCTGGAGTTAAAAAAAAAAAGTCAGGGGTGAAATTTAAGAGAGTCACTTGTATTTCTGTGGGAAGCAGTGATTAAAATGTATGTTGGCTTATGCTGATTTATTTTGGGGGGTTGTTATCAGGTATCTGATCTTTTAGGACTGTGAACTGCAAATGTGTAGATAAAATTAAGAGCATTCATAACGTTATTTGGTATTGGGCTGTTAAGCATCGATCAGGTTGTACTGGTAAGCTTGTCACCCTGCGCTGAAGACTCTTCCCCCTACACATACGTGTACACGTACACACATGCTTGTTCTTGTTGGAGGCTTTAATAAAATAACCAGTTGCACACAGCGTGGGGATTCCCATAGGATCCCCCTGTGGTGTTTGAAAGCTGTGGACTCGGAGTCACGTCACCGAAGGCAGCTTTTTCTCCAGCAATTACCTCATCCGGGAGAGATGAAGATTTTCCAGCCCTAATTACAGACTCTCCTTTCTTAAGCATTTTGAGCGACGATCTTTAAACTGGCCCCATTGTTTCTGCTCAGTGTTGTTTTCCCTTTTCACCACAATTTCAAGATTAAAACTAACCTCACAGGCACAAAGACCTTTCTCATCTGAGTCAGACAAAAGCGGCACAGAGCAGTTTTTGCCAGGGCCTCCGAGACGTTATGTGATGAAGCGCTCTACTGGCCTGGGAAGAATTAAAAACAAAAAAAAACAACAAAAAACAACAGACCAGACCTTGGAACCGCACAGGGGAGCGATCTTTAAAAATCAAACAGGAGAACCAGAGCTCACCTAACCAAATATCCCCGTCTCTCTCGGGAGACTAAATCCTGCATCCAGGAAGACTTATCTCCAGCATCGGATTTCTCACTTGCATGCTCCACCTGGAGGGCACTTGATTCGAATCCAGATTTTTTTCTCCTCCCACACTCGAGCCGAGCCATTCCTTCCTCCTGGGAGCCCTGCAGGATGGGGGTACGACAGCCCGAGTGCGACACCCAGAAGCCACCCGTTAGCAGTCGTTCTGCTGAAGTTTCCTAAGGCAGCATCCCAGTTGGATCTCATGTGAAGGAAATGAGTGTTCAAAGGATACAGACAGAGGTGTCTCTGTCGCCTCGGGACCATGGGGGGAACCGGGGTGTTGCCTCCAGCTCCTTGTGCTCTTGTCCTCTGAAAGGAGCTGGAAGGAAAGAGGAGATCTTGTACAGCGCTGGTTGAACTGTGGAATAATACCTCCTTTGCTGTTTGGGGACTAGGGGAAACAGCACACAAGTCACTTTATTTCCTCAGGTGTACCAGAAGTCGGTGACGACAGTTCCCTTTGTCTTCCAGGAGAGCAGAATTGGGCCCTTTTGAGGGAGCGGAGACCTTTCTGTAGGATGACACGTTCATCTGGTGGGGCTCTGACCTATAGGTTACCCTGGGGCTTATGGTTCAGATCTGGGAAACTGGGAAAGGAAGGGTCTACAGCCACATCAAACTCGTGAGACAAAAACACCGAGCTGTGAGGAAGCAGTGGTAGGAAGTGCAGAACACTTTTTGTATGGTCCATCTTCATTTCACTCCCATATTTACTTCTATATATAAATACACAGCGTTTATGGGCACGGTGATTTGTTGGTTCCCTTTGGTTGAACCCGAATACCACGTTAGGTATTTTTAAAGGAATTCTTTAAAGGAAGGTGAGGAAACAAATAACAATTAACAAGAACTGGCTGACTTTTCAACCATCTTTTTAAAGTCTTTTTATGATACGCTAAATGGAAGCTGGTTGCCTTGCTGCTGCCCTACTGAAGATTTTGCTGCAGTATCTGGCTGCCTGACAAAGTTTTAGTGGAGGCTTTTGAACAGAAAGCTTCTTTTTTTTTGATAGACATACCTCTGCCTGCTTATTGCTGGCAGAATTTAGTTTGCAAGGAAGGTAATTAAGAAGCAGAATAACTCCTGGTGAAATGAGGATATTTTTGTAATAAATCATACCACCTCTTTGAGATATGCCTTCTCTATGATTAATACTTTGCTAATTTAAAATGGGTAGGATGATGTAACCTTTGAAACAAGGTTACAACGAAACAAGGTTTATTTGTCTGTTTTTTATGGGCAGTGCTTTTCAGCCTTAATTCTGAGTTGTGACTTCAGTGAACCATTCGGTGAAGAAAACTGTCACCTTGAAGCAGACCAAAATACCTATCAGTGATAGCAAGAAATGACTGATTTCTGCAAAGCCATGCAAATTGGACATGCAGCAAAGAGGCACGTTGGCAGATAAGCTATTCATGTGGGTGCTGGCACATGCTTTTTGGTGTGTACAGTAGTTGTGTGCCGTGCAGTTGTTGTGTATACTTGCGTGCAATCATTGTCCTACTATATTTAACTGAAATGTAGATCTTTAATCCAAAGCACGCTGAAGCCCCTGGGAACCTTTCCAGTTATTTAATGAGTTTTGGCATAGAGCATGCAGTAATAAGCTGTGTTTTCAATGAGTGAGTGATTTGCAGGATTAGGTTCTTAGACATCGTGGGCCAAAGCGAGCTGTGATTCCAGTGGGCACAGTTGTAAAATGAAGCTGATAAAACAGCACAGTCTCTAGCAGTGATTTGAATTGCGACAATCCGTATTTCTTTAACATTGGTTAGGGATATGCAGGATGAGTTTTGAACAGTACAAGCTTTATTTTGTTCTTAATTATTCATTTCCTTCTTTAGTTGCATCAAATTTCATTTCATTAGGGAGGAAATTAATATTTTTTCTACTCTCAAAATTTAAAGGTTGGAGGAAAAGCACTTTATTTTGGGGAATTAGTGCCAGCAATTATGTAGTATTATACTTGGCAGCTGCTTTAATAAGCCGTATCTGTGTGTATACGTGCATATATGTCTTTTATATATATAGATATGCACACATGCAAACATCTCTATATATTAGGGAAGAGTTAAGCAGTGATAGCAAATAATGGTGAAATTTCAGGGTATACAAATGGTTCAGTAAGTATGCATCTGGGATTTAAGGCAAATGGCATTTTTATGTAGTTGCCGGGGTGTGGTGTGGGTTGAGGAAGCTTCAAAAGAGTAATGTAAACATTTGCTAGAGACATTTGTATTGAAATAAAACAAAGGTCTTACCTTTGTATGGGATTTATAAGGTAACGGCTGGCAGGAGAAACTATAAAGCCACACTTTTTGTGCATGGGAGGAATGATGGGATTGATGTGAGTTATTAAAGAGACGAGTCATTTAACTCTTTGTTGCTACAGGCTGGAGGGATGAACCCTTTTAAAACAGGGCTATTAGGATTTTGGAAAGACCGGTCACCCAGGCACAGTTTCTGTGTATTGCCAGCATTCAGGAGAAAAATTGCCTTAAGTTTCTGATTCTAACACACTCTTCCCTCCCTTTTGCCCATGGCTCTCTCTGAGTCGATGGGAGACAGAAATGTAAATAGTAATAAAAGGCTTACACGAGAGGTTTCATAACTGGAGACCTTTAAAGTGCATAAGCTGAGAGACCGCAGCAGGAGTCGTGCTGGCTGGATTCAGTGATAAAAGGGGAAATGCATTTCGGAGCCTTGCTCTCTCTTTAGGCAGGTTACTGTGTTTGTGTCTTGTACCTCGCTAATTATGCTGCCGTGTTTAACAAACAGCCAGCAATTCACATAATAACAGCTACACCGTGGAGGAGCGCCTTCCCCGAAAGAGAGGGTGCTTCCTCCAGACGTGCTCTGTAACAACCAGAAGCGTTGTCCTTATCTTAGGCCACTGCTGAAACTTTCTCAGGCACCAAATGTTTCTCCAAATGAGTTTTTCATTGCCAGTGGCATGCCCGAGCTAGAGACTGGATGGGTGGAGCTCTATCATTAATTGCTCTAATCTGAGATATGCTGACATTGTAAAAAAAAGACATGGTTGTAATGACAACCCCGACTTGTTCCTGATAGCAAAACGGTGCTAAAATCCAGTTTGCGCAGGAAAAAAAAAAAATGTTTGTAAATGAATTCAGGTACAGCTGTAGTCACAACCATTAAAATAGTTCTAAGTCAAGTGTAGACGGGGCCCTGGGGAAAAAAAAAAAAACAACACAGTGATTTCTACTCCTGCTACTGTCAGTTTTACTTAACTCTTACGTTTTCTAGCCACGTAGCCCTGCTGTACAAGAGGCCAGAGGAAGAAGTCTCTTAATCCTGTGTGTCTTCCCAGCAAGGCCAGGTGGGATTTGTGTTTCCCCAGGTCCCGTGAGGCTGCTTTGCTGCCTGTGGCACCGAGGGCCTGTGCACAGGGAGGGAGGGTGGTGTAGGCCATGCAGGGCAGGCAGCGGGCATGGTGGCTGCTTCTGGGCAGGGCAGGGCCATAGACAAGGGTCCCCTGGGTCCCTGGTGCAAATCTTGAGCAAAAAACCTTAAAGGCAACTCAAGTAACACAAGTCATGCCCTCATCTCCTTCCCTCTGCGCCCTGCCCCCCCCTCCTTCTCCAAATCCAGTCAGTGCTGTGCTTCGAAGGAGGGCTAGTAGAAGATAGCAGAGGGAGAAAATTCTTCCCCCCAAAAATGATTTGTGTTAATTTGAATCCATCCATCTCTCCGTGAGGCACAAATATGACAGGAAAGATCGTACACTTCAGACGCATGAATCTACAGTCATTGCTCCTCAGAGAGATCCTGATGTATCGCGGTGTCAGGACGAGGATATTGAGTCTCACAGCATCAATCTATTATTCATGCTGAGTAATCTGTTATTACTGTACGGGGACTCCTGAAACCAGAAAGTCTGCCTTCCCCAGTTGCTCCTACTGTGCTCCGTGTGTCTGGAGGCAGTGGAAGAGCTGAAACACGGAGGATGTGGTTGGTGAAGGTGGGACAAAGTCCTTTTTTTTAACTTTTTCAGTTAAAAACAGACTGCTGGGGCGATGCAGAGCCTAGACATCCCCTCTCACGTTTTAACATACAGTTGAAAAATCCCTCTGCAGAAGGATGGGCTAAGGCACAGCGAGCCTGGGTTGCTTTGTGCCAGGCCTCATTCCACCGCTCTGTGTTCACACACACTTGAAAGCACTGCGCTGACACCGTCAAGGAGTCTTAAGGCGAACGAAAACCCAGGCCATCATATTTCAAAGGCATGTGCACCCCGATCCACGCTTACCTTTGGATCCAGAGGAGACCGAGTTGTAATTTGAAACAGAAATAGCACTATCGGTTTCAAAATCAGAGTTTCACCTAGGGCCCTTCCCCGCCTTCCTCCTCTCCCCGCAGTTAAAGTTCAACCATTTCATTTGTAAATGCAGCTCTGCGATACAATCAGGAGCAGAAATGCGGAGGTGCCATTAGCTCGGTCAGGCAAACAAGCTGCTCTGGCTCCATCGTAAAAAAAAAAACCCTGACTGCAAAGTAACTTCTGCCATTAGGGTAAAGTATCCCCCTACCAGCCGCACCACAGACCTTTATTCCCAGCTCGCCTTTCTCTGAGGGGTGTTTGTGCTCTATTCACTTGTGTTGGGTTTTAGCCCTGTTTGTGGATTGAGGGGGAGGGCTTCTTTCATTCCTGAATCTTCCCAGATCCCAGGGGCCCGAGGGCCTCAGATCTGCCCCGTGAGATGTGCATCAGCGAGGTGTGCATCGGCCGTGTTTGGGAGTCCCTGCAGAGCTCGGCCTTACTGTGCTCATCCTGCCGGAGCAGGGCTCAGGCAATACACACGGGCGTTTTTTTCTGTCCTTTTTCTTAGTTCACAGTGCTTGTTTTATTTCTGTGTGAGTTTTGTTTTCTAAACCAAGGAAAAGTGAAAAGTAGACCCAGGTTAATACACAACTGGCAAAAAGTCCTATGTAAAGCACGTATCCTCGCTGCGAAAAACAACTGCGTTTTTAGTACAGCATCATCTCATGTTCCACAAACACTGTCTTGACTGAAAAGATCCTAGTGATAATTCAGATCACGGTACAGCTTTCTTTGCACCCAAATGGACTCGGTGGTGGGAGAACCTTCTGCTAGGTGCTGTACGAACATGTCCTCGTCCCATAGTACGGGTGGTGGGTAGAAAACAGGAGGTGACCACTGGTTTTCTGCAGACATTAGTGTGTGTAGAAGGAAAGCATGAGACAGGTTTCTGAAGAGAAGATGAGCAGGGGTTGCCAGGAACTGAGGGCATGGCAAAGGTGGGCAGAAGCTTTAGAAATATTTGAGAAATTTCTTCCCTGTTTGACAGGCAGGGTGAGATGCACTTTGGAAAATGAAGAGAGACGGGGAAGGACCCTTAGAGTGAGGTCAGGGATGTCTGTTGATAGGTTGGAGGATGGAGTGCTGCTGATGACAGTGCAAAGAGAATTTGTGAAAAAAGGGGTAAGACTTTTGCTTGGCCACACTGAATTTGAGTAATGAGATGTCAGAAGCACAAGCCAGACCAAAAGATGGCTGGAAAGGACAACGCAAGGTTATCTGGCTATGTCTGTATTAACAAACAGCACAAACATACGGAGCAGGTTTGTAGGGTGGAACAAGTCAGGGCTAAAGACCTTACATCCACGTGAGACACATTTTGGAGGTTTTATCTGAGATTATCTTTAGTCAGTTCCCACGGCCTGAGCAACTGTGAGCAGCTGGAGCATGTGAGGTGTGCTCCTGGGACACATCTGCTCTGACTCCTCCAGAAAGAATCCAGCTGATGCATTCTGGCTCTCTGGTGTGAGCCAAAGCATGGTAAGTTGGGATAATCAGGTGATTCACCTCAAATGTGATCTCCTGATCTGAACTAAAGCATTGATACACACCTTAAAAGGCTGGCCTTCTTCCCAGCATGGAAGCATCTTTGCTGGACTTAGGAGAGAAGTGGAGAATAAATGTGTGAGTTGTCAGAATGGAGATAACTGGCTGAATTAAAATATTTTGGGGAGATACCTGCTTCTGTTTCCCCATTTGTTGTCATGTGTTTCCAGAAGTTTAATAGTTGTTTGCACCACATTTGTAAAGTCATCTCTCTGTCACATAGATTTTCATCACCGTGAATTGCTTGAGCACGGACTTCTCCTCGCAAAAAGGAGTGAAGGGGCTTCCTTTGATGATCCAGATAGATACGTACAGCTACAACAACCGCAGCAATAAACCCATCCACCGAGCCTACTGCCAGATCAAGGTTTTTTGTGATAAGGTAAGTGGAAAGCACGATTATCAGGGACAGAGGAGACACCTTGTTTGACAGTTTATTATTATTGCTGTATTCAGACCTAATGACTTTTTCCTGAAATAATCTATAAGTTGCACAGTAGAATTTGATCCAGCTGTATTATAAACCTGGCAGGTTATCACCCAATTATTTTACTGCTTTGCGGCCTCTTTGGCCCTTATTCCTTGGCTTGTGAGCAATGTAGTTGGACTGTGTAAGGACAGCTTGTTGTAGTTCATGGCACAGGAACATCAAAATAGTCACAGAATGCATGAAGGTAAAGATCTCTGCTTGGAAAGTACTGACCATAGGTTCATGCAAGTGCCAGTCTGATGGTTTATCCCTTCTGTCTCTAACAGCCAGGACAGGTAACACACAAATCTTGTGGAGAGGTCTCTGATGGCAAAAGGCACCTTTCCTTAAAAGTCTGCTAATCTGTCTTTTACTATACACTAGAAAAAAAACAAAACACAACAAATCACGTCCCAATAATACAGCTAATGGTTTCTTTTCTGTTTGATTGCAGTTATTTTGGGAGCGTCAGTAAAACTTAGGTGTTGCTGGGGCTTTCTTATTGAAAGGCAACTGCAAAAATATGTTAAGCATTCCCATTTTGTGATTCAGTAACTTTTGATTTTTGCTCACTTCTTCTTTTTTTTTTTTTTGCATAATTTGCATAATTTTCTTACTTGCAATGGTTTTCCTCACTCCTTTGTGGGAATCAGTAAGATTGGGCTGTAATTTTCATCATCAAAGCATAGAGCCTGCTTTAATAAGTCCGACAATGTCATGGGCAGCTGTATAGATCACCAGGTAGAAACAGTTGCTCAGAAATGTTATCTCTGTGATGATTCTTAGATGTGTAGCATCACCATGCTTCATTTGTGTTTAACACCTGGCAGCCAATGGACTTTATCCCTGCTGGGAAAGATCTTCCAGGGGAAGGTTGGTGCCTGGATTCTAGTCAAGGTTCAGGGATTCAGGAGCCTGCATCTATTTAAGTGACTTGAAAATTTATCTAAATTAGTCTTCCCATCTTACCGTTGGGAACAGAAAGGCAAAAGGCCATGCCCCAGGCAAGACGTAGCATTAACTTTTTAATGGAAAGGGCAAGAGTTCAACTGTTCCTGGTCTCGGTGCTGTTGCTCCTTCCCCTTTTTCAGTTAATTCCCTTGTTGCTGTCTTGACAACAAGATCTTGAGGGCTAATCAGTCAGTTGTATTACTGGAGCAAAAACTTTGAAAGTAATGAATGGAAATGTATGCACCAAGGTCTTCTTGCAGTCAAAGTGCTACGCTTTTAATTGTAACTTTGAATGTCAAATATTTAGAGATTTGAGGCTACAGGTGGATGTTAAAAGCTCCATAAATATCAAAGTAACAAGTCATTTTCATCTACTTGTTTTTGAAAAGCAATTAGAAAAATTTGAATTATTAAAAGAGAAAAAAAAAGGAAGGAAATTCAGAACACAAACTCATCAAGGGTGACCTGTAGCCACAACTGGTGGAGATTTTGAATAATACATGTTCATTGCATCTGTTGGCTTAATTGGTACTTCAAACATCCAGACGAGGAAGCAGGAAATGAATGCTAAGACTTTTAATCAAAACTGTCTCAAAGTAGAAGAGATCACAGGGGTAGTTAAAGCGTTCTGCATATCAAAACTATATTGAGAGCGGGAACTGGAGGGCTCCAGGGTATTGATAATGGGGTATGTATCTGTGTAATAGAAACGTATACATGCGTGCACACACACAGAGCTTTTTAACTTAATGCAGGGCTGAAGATGAATTAAAGGAATGAAAATGAATGAAAAATATCTAGGTCAATTCACTGACGGTGTTCATTGGCACTTGGAGAGGCTGAGGCCTGATTCAGCCCTCACTTGGTGCTGGTGTATCTGTACTGACGTCACTTACTCACTGTGCTTTTATAAGTAAATAAAAGATTGGAGAATCAAAGCTCGATTGCCAGCTCAGCATGGCAGTTGTGTTTCTGTCTGCACAGGAGCCGTGCAGAAACCGTCCCCACAATGCACTCAGCAGGAGGTAGGTGGTGGGGCTGGATGTGGTCATCTTCTCCAAGACAACAAAATAACTCCTGGCACCGGTTGATGCGGTGCTGCTAATGGAGGGTCCCTGGCTCTGTTTCTCCTCCAAGACTGTTCCCCGCCCTCTAGTGACAACGACAGGATTTACTGCCTGTTTGCTAAAGGCAACGAAGCCAAGACAATTTTTGCCCAACTCTTTCTTATGATTAATTAAAAAAAAAAAGTATTACGGGGCCATTTTAAAAAGCAGCAAACATAAAATCATTTTATACATTTTAGAAGGATGAATTGCATCGTTATGCCCCCATCTGACAACCATAAAGAGAAGCTGATGAGAAAACTGCCTAATTCATTACAATTATCTGGATTAGGGGAACTACACAGTAAATTCCTCCCACCTAAGTGCTGAAATGTATCTGAGTTTGAAACGTGGAAGAGAAAATGTTTCTGTTCCTGCTAGTGTTCTTACAAATGGTCTGTCTGCAGCCATGGTGCCTCTTTAGGACCAGTAGACGCGTTTATACATTAACCTAGTTAATTCACAGGTAAACGTGGCTAGTTTTTAAGAAAACCATTTGCTGATAAATTATGTCCTTCAGCTGAAACACAGCACACACGTTGTGGAAGGAGAATCTCTGAAGAAATAAAGCAGCATTTAGCCAAGGGGCACATACTACGTATATCTTAGTATTTACTTGAGCACTTACTGAATTTTAGTATCCTATTACATATAAACTAGGGAGCAACACAGACTCAGATCCAACGTGTGCTTTATGTAACATAAATGTATGGAGATAAGGACTGCGAAGGTTGTAAGCGTTTGTTTGCTCCCCATTCATTCTCCAGTCTTTTGTCCATGTTTATTTTCCTGTAGACAGTCTTCCAAGCAGCTGTTAGAGTGCACATCTTGTTTCCTCAGTGCCAATTCTCTCTGCCCTTGCTATCTTTTTGTCATGTGCAGATCTCTGATGCTACATTATGATAAGGGAATATAATTTTTATTCTTTAAGGAGGTTGTCAGGGAAACTTGCCACCCGGCCTATTTATATTTATGTACTGCGAGATGCTTTAGCCACCGTGTATGAAGGAACTGGGAATTCAGAGACATTCTGATTTTCTCTGTGCGATTAGCCTTGCTAAAAAGAAGCAGAAGCATTTGTCTGGCCAAATACCATAATATTGTTCCCAAATAAAATAAATCAATCCTGTTTTCCTTGCTCCGAAGTACACGTTGTTCTGAGTACACGCAGTGCCTGCCATCTTGTCTCCAGTTTGGACAGCGGTAGAGTAACTGGATTGTTAAAAGGCACGGTGCAATTCTAATTACCTGTAAGTCTGCAGCTACAGAGAGAAGGAGGATGAAGTCTCTGGGTCTGTCCTACCCCACGGGGAACACTTTGGCCTTCATTTAGAAGGAGGTGCACACATGAGCTTCGTAGTGGTGATGGGGGTGTTATGATGGCTTCATCTCCAGCCTGCTTTAAATTGTTGGTGTTCTCAGGACTTGGGTGCCATGGCTCAAGTGGGTGCAGACAGAGCAGTCACGCTTCCTTGGGGGCATAGTTACAGAGACCATCAAAGAAAATCTTTGCAGTCAGAGCTGTGAAACCAAAAGGCAGGGCTGTGGTCAGCCCTCCTGAGGACACGGGCAGGAGGACGTGTTCTTCCCTCTGTTAAAGAAGAGGAACCCTCAAAAACAATATTGATAAGGGCACAGCTCTGAATCTCTTGGAGCTGATGAAACGCCTGTGGCTGAGGTCTGTGAGCACTGTCTGGAGCCTGGATCTGAAGGCAATGTTTCTGTTAGATACCCTCATATTTTTTAAAAGGTGTCTCTTACTCCACCTCTTCCAGCCTCTGGAAAGCCATTGATAGACCACAGCCAGGAGCAAATCTTTTCTTGCCCTCTTTTCAAGCTTTGTTCATTGGCTCTTGTGTGAATTTTTCCTTCCTGAGTGAATATTTTTGGCTCCCCCCCTCTCCCCTCCCTCCACTTTCTTTTACAGAAACTTCTAATTTTAATTTGCAAAAGATCTCTAATTTTGCATGCTGACTGTCTGGGAGCATATGGATCTTTAATACACTTCACAAGATGACTGTATTCATATTTATAAAGTAAATTAGGAGTACTTCAAAGGAGGTGTTGCTGCTTTTTATGTCAATAACAACTTTTATTTTCTAAACTTATTGAGAGTGTATTTACATAACAGAAGCCTGCAACTTCCCAGGAGTTCCTAGGGCCTAATAGGGTAGTGCTGCCCTGCCTTCCAGTTTCTCCAGGGCTTTTTTTCCCTGTTTGAAATGCCTGTATGTTTCTGTACGAGCCTTTGCACTGCAAACAAGCTGTTGGAGTAGAGTTCTTCCACTGGCACACCTCAAAGGCCTTTACAAAGCCATCCTGCCCCTACACAAGGTGGGTGGTTGAGAGTTTAGGGAAGAGCTTAACATAGACGTGATCTAAGATGACAACAATCCTGCAGGTGCTTTACGTCAGTACACACACGAAGTATTTGGGCTGAGCCCTCCGTTGTGCTGGGTTCAGGATGCCCTGTGTGCCTGCTGTGACAGCAACAGGCCAGCCCAAGACCACACAGTACCCAAACCATCGGTCCCATCTCCTCCAAGCCAGCTGCAGTGATGCACACGAGTTTATTCCTCTTGCTGGCACGAGCCCTGGGGGCTGCTGGGTGTGCCAGCACAAGTTTGGGAGACAGATGCTTGATATGGAGCTGGCTGGCCTTGCACATTCCCCAACAACCTGGTGGAATTCAGCTGTGATGGGATAACTGGCCTCTGTTTTGGCATTTCTGATGTGCCTGTAGCTGTAGTTTCAGCTACATTGCAGGGATGGTGCTCGCGGTGATTCCTCTCAGGCTAATGTCTGTGGTTGTCTTTTTTCCATCAGGGAGCAGAAAGGAAAATCCGAGATGAAGAGAGGAAGCAGAACAGGAAGAAAGGCAAAGGCCAGGCCTCCCAAAGCTCATGTAATAACTGTGAGTAAGACGGGCCTCCCTGGTTTGGACTGTCACACCTAATGTGTCCCCTCTCATAACCACACTGCTTTGTGATCCTCCTAGCAGCTGAAGGGAAGCTGAGTGCAGTCCCTCTGCAAAAGAAGAGTGATATCACCTTCTTCAAAACAATGACTGACCTGGATTCCCAGCCAGTTCTCTTCATACCAGATGTTCATTTCGGAAACCTACAAAGAACTGGACAGGTAGGAAATGATAATGAGGTGAGCAGGTGCCCACCTGCTGTCCAGCTGCACGTGCTCCGAGGCAGGTTTTACAAAAACAAAGCACTGTTACTGGTGGCTGCTTGTTTCACCTCTCATTTTTGGTAGATGCAGTTCTTGGTGAGTCACTTAGCAAAGAGCTTGCAAGAGACAGATGCCTTTCTTATTTCTGGGTGCAAAAAGAGGGAGTTTTTACTTCATTAGTAACAGACTATTTGTGTTTGTCGTGTTTTTGTCATTCTTTTGCTAGTAAGAAAGAGTGGAACAAGCAGTCAAGAATTTTGAAATAGGTGGATTTGTGACTTGAGTCTTAGTCGTGTGGGGTTTTATTTTGAATGTGCTACATGGCTTGGAGTCGTGTGGGGTTTTATTTTGAATGTGCTACATGGCTTGGTGAGATGAAGTGCCACCTTGTGGTAAAAGAGATCTCCCTCGTTGTGATGGCTGAAAACAAAGACCAAGCTCCTCCTATAAAGTCAAGAGTAGGCTCCCAAATTCCACTGCCCACTTTCTGCAGGCACTACCTAGAGACCTGCTAATTCTTTAGAAGAAAACATTTGCGCTCTACAGCATAGTATAAGAAGGAAAAATCTATCATACTAATGCTAACGTCCAGTGTTGGCTTAGTGTTGAAGTCATGGAATCATTATCCCCAGTAAGTATGAGGAAGTCTCTGCTGACCTGACTTTTTAAAGACCTGCTTTATTGCATGGTGGTAAATTGCAAAGCTGAACTATAGGGTCAGCTCCGACAATTTCTCGAATATGAGCCTGTTATTTATTAGCCTCTCAGGGACTGCAATGAGACCTTTCTGCATGTGTTTATAAAGACAAATTGTTGATGATGAAATTTTACATGCATCTTGCTGCAAAATATTAAAGTAACGAAGATTAAATTACACCGAGTTGGAATCGTCATTTATTTTAAAGCCGGGAGGATTGTGGTGGAGCAAAGCACAAAGAGTGCAGACATTGCAATCACAGCTGTCACTGACTTACTCTCCCAAATTGGAAAGACGCCCCCTCACATATCAGTGCTGGGTACCTTCTGTCCTCATGGCTTTCAAATCAGAACGAGGATTCGTCTCAAAACAGGAGAAGGTGGAAGCATTCCTCAGTACATGTAATCCTGTAAATAATTTTCTAAACTAACTGGATACCCCAGTTTTGCTAGCTCTTAGGCAACGTTCAGCCCTCTCTTTTACTGCTGCCCAGGTTGCAGTATCAGCATTCTTGCTATCCTGAACTTTTTAAAATTGTGGTGTGTATCAATTGGTGTAAGAATGGTTTATTATGACAGTGTTTTGTAGCCACTTTCAGCTCCCGGACTTGAAATCAATTTCAGATAATGCAGAATTCAACTTCACACACACCTCTGAGCTAGATTCATTGTAATGTTCAGAAGTCAGAGCTCCCAGTGCCAGCCAGATGTGTGCTGCATCTTGCCAGAGCAAGCACTGGGAACCTTTCTGGGGTTTCTCTCTCTGCCCCAGCAGGCTCCAGTGCCATGCCTTCACCCCGAGCACGCTCAGCAGCTGAAGCCCTGGTGTGCTTGTTGGTTTGGAACCGCAGCGCAGGCATCTCGTAAAGGAATTTGGCTGCCTGTTGTGTAAAGCCTCTGGCAGTGGACTGTGATTTTATACCTCTGCTGCTGCCGTTAGCCACATCTCCTGCTGTTGTAAGCCTGCTCCCAGCGAATGGGAGCTAAACTGATTTACACGAAGCAATGATCTGGGCTTCTGCTCCTGCCTGCAGCCTGTGCAAGAAATATCATCTGTACCATTAGCAATTGCTTTTCCATTAGGCCCGTGGTTTAATATCGGTCCTGATTGTGTAATTAGATTTTCAGACAGTATTAAATACCTACAAAACTCTTGTGAGTGTTGTGGCTTAAATTACATTAAGGATAATTTAGCTAGGAGTGATCTGATTTAGAGAATTGTAAAATAATTGGAAAATGATACAAAACAGAGGAGAGGACAATGCCTGTCAAAATGCTTTGATATATTTCCACCAGATGATATCCAACAGCGGTTTTGCCAAGCTGCACTTTCTCCAGATCCAAATTAGAAGTAGAGATGTTTGTGTTTTATAGAAGGATTTTTAACAGATTAAAAACTGCAAACCACTTCTCTTTCCTCCCATTTGAAGTTATTCTGTTAAGCAGGTGCCTGAGTTTGGGGAATAATTTCTTTTTCTTTCATTTTAGGTTTACTATAATACAGATGATGAGAGAGAAGGGTAAGACATTTATTGTTTCACAATTTTTTTGTGGTTAGCAGTTCAAACTCATAGAAAGCAGGCATAAAGACCTGAAATCAGATAAAATTGGTCCCCTCTCTCTCCTTTCCCTTATGTTCTCCCATCCCTAATGATAGGTGAATAATATGTGGAACCGGTAGTGGGAAGGTTTATTTTATGGTATCTTTCTTTTCCTTCCTGTGAACTGGCTTCTTTTTATACTTATTTTTTTTTCTTCCATTTCCAAGTAAAATGGTTTGAAGAGCCATAAGGTTCAATATAGGGTCAGGACAATATATTTGATAATAAACTGTATTTTATATAAGAATTCTCAAATCATCTTAAAACAAAATGAATAATGAAGCATGGAAATTTGCCCTGCTGTTTCACAGCACACGGGTGTATGTGACAAATACAGGAGATGCAGAGAAAATGCCCCAGTACCTTAGGAGATAAAGAAAGAATTGGAGTTCTTGGGAAGAGAGGAAGGCTGGAAATGGGAGCACCCGCTGTCTGGCTTTGGAGGCACTGGAGAATTGCAGAAAGTCCCTAAAATAGTTAAGAGATGTCACAAAATATGGGCTTTAGAGTCAGCCAATATTAATTGTGATTTATGCAACCTCTATCCTTTTGTAAGGTACTCAAATCCCAAGTGAACACCCACAAACTGAGCTCACAAATGCCTGCAAAAGGTGGCCTGTGGCAGGCAGTGGCTGAGCACCAACAGCTAACAGCAACTTCAGAATATGAGACTTTTTGAAACTCGCTGGGTTGTGTGGCCTTGGATTTTGGAAATGTGGTCAGTGTTTCCTGAGGCTGTCTCTGACCCAAAAGAGGAGGTGAACCAATGTGTAAATACGGCTCCACCTCCTTTCTTAGTTGCTTCTTTCCCCTGAATTCCTGTGCCTAAATATTTAAGAAGTTAAGAGCCTTTGGTGTTTTTCCAAATAGCATGCAACATCGGAGTATATTTTCCTGTCACCTGTCCCAGCCAGTCAGTCCAGGCAACTTGAGAGGCTCTGAGAATTCAGATAAGCATCAAAAGCTAAATCTGTGCAGTTTCTGCAGTTACTTGAGTAGCTAGTGGAGTTTTTGCCAGAGTACAAATTGAGGCATAACTGCTGCTGTTTTCCCTTCTCTGTTGGGAGCACAGTTTTATCCGTGACGTGGCCCCTGTTGTGTGTTTTCTAGTGGCAGTGTCCTGGTCAAGAGGATGTTCCGGCCTGTGGAGGAGGAGTTTGGTCCATCCCCTCTGAAACAAATGAAAGAAGAAGGCCTGAAAAGAGGTAACAGTTGTTCTAGTTGGTTCCTACAAATGCCCTGCGACTTCTGCCCTCAAGCAGAGAACTTGTTTGGCTCAGACCAAGGCAGTTGTTTGATGCTAGTGCAAATATGGGGCAGATGGGAGAAGATACCATCACACCTGCCAGTGTACAAGGAGGCATTTTAGCGAATGCTAGTAATGCTAAAAATGCTAGAATGCTACAAAGCAGAAAATAAACACGAGAAAGAACTGGGGACTGTCTCAAGAAGGGATTAGGACACAAGTGTGTATAAAATGCAAAAAAGCTCGAAAGTTTCTTGGTGCTTGGCCAAGCTACATAGTTCATAAATGTTCTAGTAGCTAGTCTGTGGTTGTTTATTTTTAACTTTTGCTCCTCTTTTCTGTTCTGGCTGGGATCACAAACAAATATGCAAGATGCACTGGGTCAAATACAGAGACATTACACAGGCAAGCTCATGCTTGTACTCACTGCAGAGTTGAGATTAGCCTGAATAAAAACTCGGAACTTTCCTACCCAATTAGAAAATTAATGCATGGAGAGATATCCTGCAGCTGACCCAGCTGAATTGTTTGTTTCCTTTAACTGCTTTTTATTGTCTTTAGAGAGTACTGCCACAGTCACATTTTGTATGTGCTGCAAGAGAAGTCCAGCTCCCGTTTTCCAGTTCAGTGCAGGTTAACTTGAGTAACATTCAAGCAGTGGTTTAGGCAGAGCTGTCAAATTCACGTGAAGGTAAGGATGAGCATGTAGTGGCTTTGTCCACAAAATATGCTTTGTGTACAGTCACAATGCAGAGCTATACATGTGATAAAACACCACACTGCCACAGTTGGGCACTCTGGAGAATATTTGTCATTCCTTCAGTCTCCTGTGTTCTGTCACGTAAGCTTATTGGAGAACCCAGGGGTTGGACCAAGCCATGCAACTCAAACTCACACATGTTTTGAGGGTCACCCATTAGTTTATGAGACAACAAGGCAGCAACATGTAGAAGTGAGCTCAGCTGTTCTTATCTATACCACTTGTAAAACTCATTTGAGCTTGTTAGGAACACTTTCCATAATCCTAAATTTTCTCTGTTGGTGCAGATGGTGCGCTTGAAGCAGGGGAAGCATACAAGACTATAGGATGGAGATTGGTATCTCTGTAGAATGAATGTAAACATATTCTTCCTTTAATTAAGTCTCCAATTAGTAATGTGAGGTCAGCACTGACCACGGGATCGTATCTGTTTGACTCAAGGCCTTGACCAAATTCACATTATCAATGTGGGCTCCATCAAGCAGAAATGGACAGCCACAAGGGCTGCATAAAGATCTGTCTTTTGCAGCAGTTTCACCTGGGTTTCCCAGCTGGAAGCCTGGAGAGTTTCCTGCAGGGAGATATTGATTTGCTTTGATTATTCCTGTCCTTTACTGTGGTTAGTTGTTTTAATATCATCCAGGAATTTCAACCATTTCGAGGGGAAGATTTGAAAGAAAAATATGTTTTTCAACTGGTGACAAAACTATGCTAAATAATTAAATCCAGGAGAGGCACGGAGCCGGAGAAGCTGGAGGATGCTCTCTTCCTGCTCAGTGTTTCTCGCAACTTGGGCTGTGCTGGCTGGAGGCCAAGCCTCTTCCAGCGTAGCCTTTGCTCTGTTGAACTTCCTGCCATCAGGAGCCCTACATCTGGGGTTGTGCTGCTGGAGCACGGCTCCATTTGAACCTACCCACTTGACAATCCCGTCTTTGCCACGGGAGTCACCGGGTATTAAAATCTTCTGCTGTTTTTCCCAGGCTTAGCTGTAACAGATTTTTTTCTCCCAGATTTATTTGGTACATCAGCATCAATAACTTGAGAGCAGGTATAGATGGGGCTGTAATATTTGAGAAAGAGCAGGTCTGATATGAGGAAATATGCATAGCAGGCAACGTAATCCCAAGGTGGCTCATTATCAGAGCAACACAGGTAAGTAGCACCCAGTGAGGGGTCCAAGCCCAGCCAAAGAGCTGAAGTTTCACCTCTGGCTGCTGGAGCTAATTGTAATAAAGTATTAGAGGAAGAATAATCCCCCTTCACGAGAACAGGGATCCAAAGGGTTTGCAAACCCCCCGTCAAACAGGGTTCATATCCTCACACAGGTAGCTGCATCTTTTCGAATTTGTCTTTCATCTCCTTGGCCCCTAAGGGAAGTGCAAGTGCCCAACCATGTGAAGTATGTTAATCTGCACCAGCTGTGCTGTGTGGCTAGTCACTCGGCTGGGCTCGTGGCCTTTTTTCTGTGTTCTCACTAGCAGTTTTTAAGTCATTTTACCTCTCAGACTTCAGTGGGAGTTTCCTATTAATTATAAATCCAACAGCCCTGTTGCAAGCCAGGGAGATTGCCAATCCTGCAGTTTTCAGCCTGAACAAAACAGTATTTTGCTCTAGTTTTTGTCTCTTCAGAGAGTTAGGTTAAACTATTCTCAAGAATTTTGGATTCATAAGAACTCGAGTTTTGAGAACCATCCCCGTGGAGCACAGAATTCACCCGGTGGCTCTGGTAGCTGAAGAATTTGTGCCTGGGCAATCTGTGAAAAGTCCAAATGTAGTCAAGGAAAGCTTGGTCACAGCTACCAGCCCTGCTTTCCTTGGGCTTGAGGTTCTCCCTGCTGTTGTGCCAGCACAAAGGTCTGTGGGCTGCCTCAGCACCTGCAGCATGGACCTGGTTAGTCTGAAGGACTCAGAAAACAGGGTTATTTTTGCATTTGCATCTGCTCTTTGAGATAGTTCACCTGCAGGAGGATTCGCGGGGACAGGCCAGAATAACAGGGCACAAGGTGGTCAGTCCTTCTGAATTAAAGGTGCAAAAATCCCACCATTGACCCCGATGCCTGGTTTTGTAGACTAAGACAGGAGACTGATCTGGGCAGCCAAATTTTAAACCTTTTTTCAGCCATTTGAAAACATGGGCAAAGAAGCTACAATTCAGTGCAAATGGGACTGCTACAGCCTTAAACTGAGAATTAGCTTCCAAACAATTGCTTCTTTATGAAAAATGCCACCTACAAGTCATCTACTGTGAAATTAAATCATCCAATGAAGATCTCCTTTGGACTCTAAGGACGATCAGTTTCAAATTTACCTTTTCCCATCGTGGCACCAGTGCAGTCTGTCATGCAGACGTATCTAAGAGTAGACGTGTACCTAACATACAGTACTGCTAGTTGAAAAGGCAGTTTATTCAGGAAAAATCACTTTCACATCAGCTTATTTAACCTGCTATTTTACCTGAGTAATGTGAAATTACACCTAAACCACTTCTCCAGTATTCACGGTTATTCACTTTGTGTGTGTCTGCTTTGCTTTTGCCATGTAATCTCTGTCAGATTACCATTTCCTACCCTTTTTGTTGCCTTTTGTCTCAGAAGTTTAGCTACAACTGACTCTTTTTGTACCTGCCTGCTTTGCTCTTGCCGTGTAATTTTGCCTTTTCTGAATGTCTTTCCCAGTCTTTGGGATAAAGCCTGGAGAGGTGCAAGCCAAGACCCAGGTATAGAGACCCAGCTATATATATTTTTTTTTCCTGGAGCTTCTCCTATTTAAGTACATGAAGGTTTAAATTCCTGAAGATATAGATTTCTCACATTACATTAAATCAACTGCATTTTCTTTGTGTACTTTCAAAGCAACCACAGTGTGTCTTCCATCACTGCTGATATGAGATATTTTTTTAAAGTGAAAACCAGCTTCAGCACTTCGTTTTATCTGTCATGGATTAATATTTGTTTTTCTACTCTTTGTGGGGTGTTTCATCTGTTCGATTGACTGGACCTGCTCCAAGCTTGACTTTTTTCTCTTTCAGTGCTTTTGTATGTGAGGAAGGAGACGGATGAGGTGTTTGATGCTTTGATGCTGAAATCACCCACAGTAAAGGGGCTAATGGAAGCGGTAAGTATCCAGTGTCCTCACGTTGTTTATCCTCTTTGGTAAGAAAATGTTGAGACTTGAAATGTGTTGCTGAGATACAATATAGAGACGAAGTTACTCTCAAATATATTTAAAGCATTTCATAAGGGCTTTCTGGAGCACACCTCCGAAATGTTGGCGTGTTCTGAATTGAGTGCTGTCAGCGGGTTGCTGAGATAAAATAGACTTGCAGAGCTGACTTACTGGAGACCTGACCCTTGAGGAATGGCAGTAATTAACCAGTGCCAAGGAAGCAGTGAGATGAAGGACCCGCTTTCTGAAACACTTCTTTCTGAACTGATGGTTCAGAGCCTGTCAAATCTTTTCCTGCAGTGCTCACTGGTGTGTTCACAGCCAGCTTTTAAAGAAGAGGCCCAAGGATGCAGCGTTTCCATGTGAATTTCATATGGCTTTTGTGCAGTTGCTTTTTCAGTGAACAGTTCGTGAGGCAGTGCAGACAGCTCATTCATACCTCCCGTCTCAAATGCTTTCTCCAGCCCTCACTCCAGAGTGACCTACTCAGGCCTGCCTCTTTTCTGCTTCTTTGACTTGAGTATTTGTTATCTGTTATCTGTAACTCTATTTTCACATTTAATCCTGTTCATATGAGCTGATGGCTCGTAGATGTGTGAAATTTGGTGAGTGAAGAGTGAAGAAGCCAACGTGTGTCTCATTGCTTAGGTGGGGGGGACTAGCATGAGACTGACCTGTAGGGCACTGAGCTGATTTCCAGCCTTGGCCACATGTAGGAAAGAAGATGGGAATGGATGAAAGTGTCTCTAGAGAGCTCAGCTGGGTGCTAGAAGTATATGTAGCCATGCTCTCATAAAATTATCAGTGTCTTGTTGTGTGTATCAAACACTTAGAATGCAGCAAAGAGCTCTTTGGCCAGAAGCAGAAAGTAAAGCTAGCTGTGACTGCAGGCCAGTTGTTAGGCAGAACACTTACGTACAATAAAAGCTAGGCTTCACTTGAAGAGGCTGCAATCTGATTCATGATAAACATAATTTTATTTTGGCTTTGTGTGAAAAGTCAGTTATTATCCTTCCATAACCCTTCAAGCTAACATTCATATTTTATTTTCAGTGTTCAGAGCCTCTCCATGCCTGTTCTCCAGCTACTGCGTAACATAAAAACAGAGCTGGTCCAGAACTTTTCTGCATAGCTCCTTCAGCACAGGTTTCTGCATACCTCTCTCAGCACAGCTGCTGACTCAGTGGCATGTTTTCAGCATCAGAGAAATCTGATCTGTTGTAAAATGTCCCAGATCACTGAAAGGAACACAGTCAGGAAATTTTAATTCTCTTTGGTAGGATATAATGGGTAAGTGAATGCCAAGAAGCTGTCAAACTGCATTCTTTTAAATACTCTCTCTGCAGTCTTTACAGCAAATAATATAATTTGGAAATTGCACGCATCCTAAATGCTAACTTCTAAGTTCAGTATAAAGATCCTAGAAACCAAGGCTCTGAATTTTATAGATCCCCATTTCTGAAAGGCAACACCAATGATCCTGATTCATACCCTCCTTCTCTATTTGCATATTAAACATATTTTTTTGTTGGTTTATTTATCACTATTCCTGGTCTGTATCTTTCTCCTAGCTTCCCATGGTTAATGACACTGTTTTCTCAGATACTATGTGTATTTTATTGTCTCATATACTCACTTTCCAAATGAACAATCAGATTCCTTCTTTTGTTAGATTTATACATGTCTGCATGTCCTTCCAACCAAGATAGGGCAATGTACCAGACCACTCCAAAGAAATAAGTTGGCAGAGATGTTTTTATACATGCTTCGACCAGCCTTTACCATCTTCCTGACTCCAGCAGAGAAAGCATTTCTGGTGGCTTGTGCAATCAGATCTGTGCTACATACAGGCTTGCCATGCCAGGGGGGTGCAGTGCCACTCTGAAAGCCATCTCGTGGGCTCAGGCATCCTAAGGGAAGCAGAGAATTCTCTACTCAGGGAACTGGAAAATGGAGATGATGAAGGAAAATACTCTAAATAAAGAGATCTTTCATTACTGTATTATATCATGCTTGGGATCAGGTGAGAAATCCTGTTTTATATGGAGGCTGGCCAGCAGCGTTTTTCCCCCTGAGCTGGCATCAAAGCAGTTTCAGAAGAGGGTGTTAAGTGAGATGCCCTAGCAGATGCCAGCTGTCTGCTTTCTCAGATTCTGCAGCAGGACTTAGCACATTTGCACTGGAGACTCGTTTTCTGAGCCTGTGAGTAGGAGGCTCTCCCATACCCCCACTGGGAGCCTCGCTTCAGCAGCTCGCCATTTAGTATAATTGGTCAAATCCTTAGGGGTTCCTGAGAAATGTGCTTATTCAGTCAGCTGGAAGTCTTTCCCAAAGCTCACTAATCCCTCCATGTTATATAAACCCCACACCTGTCACAGGCAGTGTGACAGGCAGGGCTTTCTCAGCTCTACCTCCCAGAGCTTGTGTAGGAAGTGGTGTCCCAGAGTCCCAAGCCACTCTGAGCAACATTTGGTGTGGGTGAGTGTTAGGTATCCCAAATATCTTAGGGAAGTTTTATGCTGGAATGTGCGGAACGCTGTGTATTAGCTGCTGTTAAACCTCCTTGGCACAGGACTCTTTCTCCATGCTTGTTTATTTGCGTGGAGTCAGCGAAAAGTGTCTTCAGCCCTCATCCTTACAGGATCGCTAGGCTTCAGAGTTAACGCCCCAGAGAAGGAGCTGCAGCATTTCCTCACGTTCACACAGTAGTTGTGATGTTTTCAGCAGTTTCAGGCTGCAGTTTTCCTGGTACTATTACAAAGGATTTTCTTCCACAGCCTGATGAAATGGAGCCATTTTTATTACTGCTGTACACGAAAGCTTAAAATTAGGTGTACAACAAAGCCACTGATACAAAAATCCAGTACCAGTTTGCACACCTGATATCATTCTACTCAGACTTCAGTAAGCAAAGCTAGAAGGTAAGAAAGGAAAGGAAAACATGGAAGTTTCTGTGGAAACTTCTCAAAGACAGATGAGATTTGCTGAATACTCTAACACCTGCCTGCCCCAGAGGAGTCACTGGCCTCAGGTCGGGCAGCTGCCCTCCATGGGCAGCACAGGAGGAGGCACTGAAGGAAAGGAGGTTTTGTGTCCTACACAGGGACAAGGCAAGTCTGGTCACCCTTGTTCTGCCTTGTTTGGAGGAAAACCTTGAATTTTGGAGTACTTCATTGGAACCTCCTTGTCGGATGCATTTCCACACCATGCACAGAGCTCCTTAGCTCTCTGCATGGAAGCCATGCCTGAGGTTCAACCTGTGGCTGTTTGAATCTGTCCTTGGTGCTGAGTTTTATCCATCACTTGCTTTTCATTTTCTGTTTCATCGTGACTGCTTTAATTTACTTTTCTACAATACGACTTCTTCTCAACAGAAGTCTGAGCACTTGGAGCACAAACACAAAGAAAGGATTTAACAGTGACTGAAGTTTGGCAGTCTTTAAGGATTTTTAATTGTGTATTCCACTTCTCTAATGTAGAAGATAAGAGTCAGCTACTTAGCTGCAACCTCATTTCACTTGGGAAGAGCAGGAAGTTTACTTTGTTTAGCAATAGATTACCACAGCACATTAATCACTGACAAAAAGAAATAATCTTTTTTTCCATAATTATTTTGCCTCTTGGGAAAATCTTCTTCAAAATTATGAGTGGTGAGACCCATTCCCTCAAAGAAGAGTTATAATTTGGAAAGGAAACTTGTCTCAGACTGAGGGCTCAGGGACATGAGCTCCACGAACACACCACGGGGTTGTTGCAGAATGGACATCCAAAGGAGTCACTCAACACCCTGCTGCAAAGCAGTACCAAAGCATTCCAGTGAAGTGCTTGTTGGTGCTGGTAGTTTGTCAGCTAAGTTCTCCCTTCAAAAATTTTTCTCTATTTTCTGCTTTATCATTTGAGTGGAAGTCAAGGGATTGATTATAGAAGTCCTTTACCTTGTTAACAGACTTGTCAGAGACATCTCGTCTTGTTATCTGTATATTCAGCCATGAGTATTGTCATCATTTTACTACCCCGGTGACTAAGCTGATCTCTCCATGAATACAGAAGCTTCCTAATCCTGTGTGTAGCATGCTTGTAGCCCTCTCGTAGGAAAAGGTACCTTGAAGATACTTTTCAGACAAAAGAAGTACCATGAAGGATCATGTTAGCTTAACAGATATTGAAATGCCATTGAGAAATAGAAATCCGCAGGTTTTTTTGTTGAACCATCAATCCATCAGGTCCTGTTGTATTTGCACTCATCTTTCTTCTACCCGGGGTAAGGATCCTTTGCTTTCGTGAGTCTAAAAAATCAGAACAAGAAGAGGCAGAAAGGATGCTGATCAGATTGAAATTCCTGGGTAGAATCCAAAGCTGGGGAGAGTGTTGACTCCTCAAGTGGAGCAGTAGGAGATGCTGAAGCAGTTTTGATGACTCACACCTAGGAAAATTACAGTCTCTGAGTTTCTGGATGGAAAGGTAGTATTTTTTTAATCAAGACTTTTAGGATTATTCCTCCCCAAATTGTCCTTAAATGAAGCTATAGTGTGATTGTGAGAGACCTTTCTGTATAGCTATCCTGTTGAAGTTTGCAGAGATAGTGTTTTAATGCCTTATGTACAGAGAGAGGTGATGACATCCTATTCCTCATTAGTCTTTAATAATATTTCTTTTGTTCTGATTTCAGATCTCTGAGAAATACGGGCTGCCAGTCGAAAAGATTGCAAAACTTTATAAGAAGAGCAAAAAGGGGTAAGTAAACCAACACTAGCCAGGAACTGTGGCAGGATCCTTTAGAAGTATTCAGAGATCCAAGCCATACCTGGGGCATCATTATGCTGGACGGTATAAACACTTTTAGGATACATGCCCACAACCCTAAAATCTTACTGTTTATGGAGACTGCAAGGGGTGTCAGAGGTAGGAAAATCCAGCCTGTGTCTGACCAGAATTCAGGCTGCGCTTGCTGCAGGGGTTTCAGACGAGTAAATTTAGTCACGAGCATCACAGCTGTGGTTTTAGAATAGCCAGGCTGCTGCTCCTTATCGTAAATCCGAATCTCTCCATTTTAACTTCCTTACGTCTCTTACCTTGTGCCTGCTTCCACAAGTGGCAGCCTCTAATCCAAAGGCTATAAGGGGCTGTGGGGCAGCTCTCAGAGCTGATTCTCGCTCTTGTCCCTGTACTGGCGTGTGCTGGAGTCTCTTCCTGCATCACTAGGAGGTTAGCTAAGTGCGTGCATGTGGTGGAGGGCATGGCTTTCCCTTTTGCTCTTCTGGTATGTGAAAATACTGATTTTTGCCTTTGTCACCAGTATCCTGGTAAACATGGATGACAACATTATTGAGCACTACTCCAATGAGGACACGTTCATCCTGCACATGGAGAGCATGCTTGAAGGCTTCAAGATCACGCTGACTGAGATCTAGCCTCAGGCAGAGCCCTTTTGTAAGGAACCACAGCATTTCATTCTCCTTGGAAAGCAGAAGATTCCCCAGGAACTTGACAGACATTGATCAGAGAAACTGTTACAAGACTGGTTTGCAAACATTGTCCATTCTGCACACCCACTGCATGTAGGCTTGGGTTTGTCAAGCACAAGGCCACTCGTTAACCTGGTCCCTTATTTATTGTTCCCCATTCTCCAGTGTACGAGCAGTTACCAGCCCCCAGATCTGTTACCAGGTGACCCACTGCAAATGTGAAATGCAGCATCTTCATCCACGCTTTAATGTGGATAAACTCATTCCAAAACACATTAAGGAACCGTGCTGGTCCAGTTTCAGAAAACTGGGATAAATCTCTTTAACAGAGTTCACTCCACCATTGCTAAAATAAAAAGGGTTAAGTGCTAAAGATGGGGAAAGTGGCTGACAAGAGTTCACTTGCTCAGACTGATCCGTATCTCTCTCTAGTGTATAGTCTTGCCAAATACCTCTGGTAGTTCTCAGCACGTAGCAATGAGGACTTGTAAGTAAGGCATTCAGCTACAAATGTCACTTGTAAGTAAATGGTAAAGAAACCATTTTAACCTTGTATATAATGTTTATAATATGCAATAATATATTTTAACTACCGTATGTGGGCACGTTTACTGCCACTATGTTTTTGTATGTATTGGGCTTAGGGTTTAACAGAATCTTTCCTAGAAGATTAGATGTCTGCGATCTGTTAAGGAGTGTGTGCTGAGAAGTTGATGGCTATGTCTGCATTCAAGCACTCCACCCTTGCCCACCCAGTTTGATACTGAAATGTTGGAGCAAACGGCGCTGCAGTGTTTGGAGTGCTCTGGCACAGCGGGGCCCACCTCAGGTGCCCAGGTCCTGGTTGTAGGTAACTGAGGGCCCCATCCAGCTGTCACGAAATCCTAGAGGTACCCGTCTGTCCGCTGCCTGGCGTGCCTGGAGGTGCAGGAGGGACTTCTGCTGGTGGAGTGGGGGCTCTCAAAATGGGCCCATCTCAAACCTGTGGAGGGAAAGGTGCTTTCCCCAGCAGCCTGCTCCTTAAAGCATTCCTCTAGACTGTAAGAAACAGGACTCCAAACTCTTCTTAAGGGAACTCGCTCTTGTATCTCCATTGAATAATTAAATTTTGATTCCTAGGACAGCTGGATGAGGTAGAAACCTGGGCTTTTTATGGAAACTGGAACAATTTTGCCGGTGGAGACCAAGAGTGGCCACAGCTGAGGTGTGGAGATAGATTTCTCTCACAAAGGCTGGATCTGAGCCCAGGCTGAGCTACAAGGTCATGCCATCGAATTCCACCTCTGTCTCAGGAATTGTGTGAGAGAGAAAGGCTGCAGGCTGATCACATCAGAAAAGGGATCCAAGGCCTGAATGTCCCCAGTGCATCCAAACCTGGCACCTGTCTCCCTCCTTTCCAGCTCCTTTGACTGTCTCAGAGCTCCTCACACAGCACACGGTCCTGGGGGTTTCAGTGGCGAGCAGTTCTATCCCCATGCACTGTACGAGGATCCCATGAGACAGACAGAAACGTGGGGCCTCTCCTATATGTAGTCTTTGTTTCCTTACTTTTTTCCTTCTAAAATCTGTTTTTCATTTAGGCACAGTATTTTTGTTTTTCATTAGCTGGTTAATGATGTAAAGAAACACCGCCTGGTTTAACAGAGCTCATTCTCTAGTGTTTGAGTTGTGTGGAGCTATTTACAGATGTAAATATGCAAAGGACTTGGAATAGTTGACCAGTCTCATTTGGTCACATTTTTTGCATGAATTGTCCTGCAAGCTCTTGCATGGTTTCTTAACTTCATTAGCAATAACATCTCATTGAAATCTGTTCTTCAAATAGAAATGCCAGGCACCTCTAAAAGGTTCTGTGGGACCAGAACCTGTGGAGGCTCCAGGCTGTTCGTGTCAGAGCTAGCATAACCACACTCCAGGTATATCTGCAAAACAAAGTCTTTGTTCCCTGTGTCTGTCTTCCTCTCACCTTCTCTGTTCATTTGCTTTGTGCTTTTCTTCCTTATCGTGCTGAGCTGTGCACTAATTCCACTGTATTTTTCCAAATACACGCTCAGCAAAGATGCTCTCGCTACCTCGCCCAAAAGCAGACATCCTGGGAATACAAGGGATTTAGGGAGATTTGATTTGTTTCTGCTTGCCTCAGGCTCAGATAAAAAGTCTACGCTGACAGCCCAGATAGCTTTCTTCCCAAAGCAAAATAGGGCAGTTTTAGCACGTGTGTAGGTATGTAGGTATCTGAGCCCTGGCTCTGCCCCTAACAAAGCTGCCATCCAAAAAGTCTCACTTACAGGCAATCTGGGCTGGGTTGTGGTGTGCTGCGTTACGAGAGCTTGGGGTTCACAGAGCAGGGCAGGGCTGTCCTGGCAGCACCAGCACGCAGGTTAATATTTCGCTCTTGTCTTACACAGGGGTGGATCTTTCTTTTGTAAGCTGAGCTAGGACCTGCTGGGTGCTGCAGCATCTTGCACTGAGGAACAGTGAAGGATCAGCAAGAGCTGCAATGCTCCAGCAAATACTGGGGCTTAAGGAGCTGAGCTGCCTTTCCAATGCCATTTTAGGAGCTTTAGGTCAGGCACTGTCCAGGGAAGGAAAGTTGTTTCCAAGATTAACTGAAAGCTTTTCTAAATATATCTGGAAGTGTACAAATTGCTGGTCAGTAGCAAGAGAGCTGATCCTCCTGCCTTTATTTTCATCTCACAGTCTCGGTGAAGGTAGCAGTGCTGAGGAAGTTGAGTAAGACTCACCCTGATAGTAAGAGTATTTTAAATCAACCACTAGATGCATCACGAGCACCAAAGACATTACAAAGAGCACATCACCCAGCACCCAGTTGGCTGTAGCTACAGCATCAGCTGCTGGAGGAGCACTGAACCCTGGGTACTGGTCACGGCAAGCTACAAGCTCTCGGGGCTCACCACCTCTGAGGACTTGTTGGTCAAAGTCAGGCTGCTGAGGCGATGGGGAAGGGCCAGTATTAGTAACGCAAGCTTCTGAAGCAGGGCCCTGCTTTGTGTCCTGCTTGATTCAAAGGTCACGAGGAGTACGAAGTTCTTATATATGTGTTGTTTAAATGTACATGTTGCTTTTGTTTCATGACAAAGATTGATTAGCACTGTATCTTCTAAATATTATGAGTTAAATGGAAGCAAGATTTGGCTGTGGTTCAGCAGGGGACAGAAGGATCTGTGTCCTCCTTTTGTCTCTTTGTGGCACTGCAATGTTTTTTTTTTTTTTCAAAGGAACAAAACTCTCACTTCCTTTCCTTCTTCAAGACAGCAGTCTTGAACCTTAGCTAGTGTAACCTCAAGGGTGGCTTGCTGCTCAGCTCATTTTCCATATGAAGAGTGAGAGCCGCGTTGTGTCTGCACATGTGTTAGTTTTGAAAGACGCTGACGGAGAGATGCAAAAGGCAGAGCAGGCTTCTAAGCTTTAACTTCTGTTCCTACCACAGATTCGGCACTATGACTGTCCATTTGATGGTTTATTATGCAAACCCAAACCTCAGCCTTAAGTTGCCTTCTACACAGTCAGGTGCTTATATCCCCACAATAAAGCGCATCCTTTCAGCGAAGCTTTGTTGGTGTGTGGGGATATCCTCATCAAGATATTCTGGAGGATTTTTATCACTGAACATTAAGAAAGAAAGAAAAGAAAATAGCTTCTCTCTTTATCTCTCTCTCTCTCTTTTTTATTTGTTCTCTCTGAGTGTCTTCTCTCATGAAGTCTTTGGTCAATGAATTCAGAGATCAAGTGTCTTTCTTGTCTATTTTCCTCTTTCAGTCTACGGATGGTTTAAATGTAAATGAATTCAACAATTAGTAAACACTGAACTCTCCAGCTGTCAGAGTTGCTGCATATTGATCGATGCGGGACTGGAAAGGAGTGTTTTATGGCTTTCAAATGTAAAGCTTACAAAATGTTTTATATGCTCTTCCATTTCCTATGAATTGAGACAAGATACAAACAAGAGTGTTTGTGCCAAAGGTTGTGACAAGCCCTCTCTGGCAAAAAAAAATATGAAACTTTATGTATAAATAGTGTGCTTTTATATTAAGAAAATAGCTCATGTAACTTAATAGTGTTGCAACTGGGAGAGGGGTTTGATAAACTGTAAATACAGTTATTTTATTTTTTGTACATTTTTAAGAAGGACAAAAATAAATATTCCTATGTATGAGATAATATTTCTGTTGCTCTGGTGTGTGTTACTGCAAAATGGGGATTGAGTTCCTATTTCTGAGCCCAGAAAACTTCCCAAAAAGAAGAAAAAGGGAATTCATGCTACCAAGAAAAGAAAGACAGTAACTGAAAAAAATAATCACCAAAACGTTTTTGTTTGTGATTTTTTTCTGTAAATATATTTACAGCTTTTACATTTTAGGTGGACCCAGAAGTGAGCAGCGTCTGGCAAAGGCAGAAATTTGGGCTGATTTTAGTGCCAGCAGAATATGGAACTGATAGGTTAATGTTGGTTTTCCATCAGCAAAAACGATGTGAGTTTATTAATCATCCTGTCTCTCTGTCCCTCCCTTTCTTTACCCCAGATTGTCAATCCATAGCAAAGAAGCCTTGGCTGAGGTATCCTAACATAGAAACCATAATTTAGTGGCTGTCTGATGAATAGGAAGGGGGAAGAAAACTAATCTGTTTACACTTACTAACGTTTCAGTCTTCCCTAAGCTCACACATTTCTTTCTCCCTCGCCACTTTTCCACCAAATGTTTAATTAGCATTGTGAAGCAGTCCAGCCTTAGAGGGAAGAACTGGGAAAACGTTTGGGCAGGAGGATTGTCATGTTTATCTGAGTTATTCAACTGCAAAACCTCTCAAGTGGAGGAGGAAACTCAGGCTGAGCTCACATGTTGCTGAGCAAGTGGGTGAGAGAGAGGATCTCTCTCTTGTCTTGATCCACCAGGTCTGTCTCTTTAGGCACAACAACTGGGAAAAGAGCTGAACTGAGAGGATTTAAGGTGGATCCTTCCTCCCTGGAAGGCTACAGCAAGTGTAGAAAAAGCACTCGAGCGTGCCTGGTGTCCTCAGAGCACCCATGGTTGGCATCAAGGTGCAACCAGACAAGATACAGGCACCTGCTTCATGTGATGGCCGGTCTTTGTGGCCTGTATTCATGCCACCAAGCTGAAGCACCTTCATCACAAGCCCAGTTCTGCTTAGGAAGCTAGACTACAGCCAGGGGAGGGAGACACAGAGGCGAACTAACTGGAGGCGAAGGAGAAGGGCTGCCTTTCTCCTGGTGGAGCACGATGCCAGCCTGCGCGTCTCTGAGGCTGGCATCACCTCAGTGAATGGTGTGGGCCCAGGCTTGGATGGGCATGGCCTGGTGGTTTTTTTTTCCATCGTAAGGCAGCTGGGGAGCACTTCCCCAAGTGTCCTGATCTCCTGACGCGTTGGGAACCCAATGGAAACACAAGGGCACCGTGGATGAGATCCTCGCCCCCCACCTGCACCCACCAGGCCCTATAAGCCCTAAGCTCTGAATATACCAGGCCGTGCCTCTTGCAGTCAAACACTTTCATTGACTATTTTGCTCCTCACCATTTGACTTTGTCTTTTGAAACAAGAGCCCAGGAGGTGAGAACACGCAAGCTGGGGACGCAGTGATGGGGCTGCCCTTCGTGCTGTGGGGTGGGGAAGTTCAGGGCCGATACCCTCCTGCCGAGGGCAAGTCTCACGTGGGATGAGCTGCTGTGTGAAAGCCAACCCCTGACATCTCCTCTCTTCCTTGGGGCAAGGAAATGTCCAGGCAGTGACAGAAGAAGTAAATTCACCTGAAATGCTTGGCCAGTGGAGAGCTGGCACCAAGAGCCAAGGTCTCCCACCCATCCCCACCCCCAGCAGAGCAAAACTCATCTGCCTGTGTCCAGCTCAATGAGTCTTCCCACAGCCACCACAGGTTTAAAACCAGAGCTTTCCCTGGCTGCTTGGTGTTTTCTGAGCGTTTTGAAAATAATTTGTCATCTGTTTGTTTTTCATACAGCAGGGCAGCGAGGAACTTGTCACTCCGCAGCTTGGAGAGCCTGCCTGCCTAAACAAGAGCAAAAGAGGTTTTTTTTTTCCAGACACACCACAAAGTGCAGAAACCCATCCCCTCCCATGGCTCTTCTGGTCCCCAGCACAGCTCCTGCTCCCCTCCAGCCCCCTGCAGCTCCACTTGAGCTCCAGCAGAAACAAAAACGTGCACAGGACCGTGTTTTTTAGATACAACACACACTGCATGGGGCTCTTCAGAGTAATCGCATTTCCTGGGTGCTGTCTGCGAGAGACATTTAATGGTGTTTTATCGGAAGTCGTTTTACTGAGTGGCTCTTGGAAAGCGAACGCTGCAGAAGCCGAGTGCTTAGAAGTGCTCTGCCTGCGGAGGCTGTGGAGAAGCGAGAAGTGCTTTTAAATGGATGGGAGCTGCTGCACCTTCAGCCTTTCCAAAGGTCAGCGTGATTCTGGTGCAGCTGAACGAGGGTCAGCACTTCGGCTCGCCAGGTCTTTAGGAAAAGCTGAGCCTCGCCTTGGAAAGGGCAACCAAACACCCCTCCTGGAGGCTTCGACTGAATCTTAGGGGGACTCAACAGGCAGAGCTGGGTTTTTCAGCACATTCCTAAGTCGTCAGCTCTGTGAGTTCTCAGCCTCCTAGACAGGGCCAGATTCAGGGCTCATAAGCAGGGCCTCGGGGCCCTGAGGTGGTGAGACGGGCAGTCCTGGGGTGCGACATGTGCCACAAATAGGTTGGGTTTTATCACTCTCAGCAGGAATCAGGCACTGGGCTCAGTTACCTTCCAACGGGCTTTAAACTACTTTTAGCATCCTGGTGCTAATCCCGTCTCCAAATTTAACCCAGGTAAAAAATTTGAAGAGCTTAATGGAGATGCATGGGGCTGCAATAGGAGCAGGAGACAGCCCCCTATGGAGCCTGCGGTCCTGCCCACTGCAACGTGCCAACACAGCGCCAATGCACGGCTTAAATCCTTGCTAAGCCCTCAAAATTGGCTTAGCTGGGCACAGCCCGGTGGCTGTCCTCTTACCCCCTGCCATCAGCGGGCTGGGGGCTGTGGCTGCGGGCTGGAGAAAGCTCAGGGTGTGAGGAGTAACAGCACGTGCTACGAAACTGGCTGCAGCAGGATATTTATTAGTAGGAAAGAACATTTAGGGGGGTTCAGTAGGGGGATTCGTGTGAACCTTCGGTATCCACCATACATTGGTTTTCATCAAGATTGTTCAAGGTTACATATTTATATAAGAAAACAAAATAATTCATATTTAGGTGCAATCAGTAATTCCAGTATGAAAAAGCACCATGTCACAAAACAGTTTACAATACAAAATTCTTCAAAATCTAACATTTAAAAACAATATTTGTTCAACAGTAATAACAATACAGTAAAAAAATTCTTATTTCCCTTCAAACAATACTGCTTATATATTTTGGCACTGAAAAAGAAACTATCACAAATGCGCCTTTTTAACCACACGATGCTGTTTTGTGAGTGTCTATAGAACAAGGAAAAACATGCTTTTGAAGTCAGTCATTTTGTCAGGTGCAGGCTGAACTGCTTTCTCCTTTAGAAAGAAAAAAATATATATATTTATATGAAAAAAAAATTAAATTGGTAAGCTGCAGCATGTCTTGCCTCTTGGCCCAGGATGGGAGAAGCATCTCTCTCAGAGTCTGTTGAGGCGGCCCTGCCTGAAGGGCTGGGTGCAATCCCTCTGCCCCTACCACACCTGACCAGAAATGCAGATCTGAGCCCCCCAGATGCCCCAAATTTGGATGGACCCCAAATTCTTACTACATTAAGCACCCCAATAGGATTCTGACCCCATACTTGCAGCTCAGGCTAATACTTCCTTCTTGGATAATGTGTCATTATGTTTCAATTTTAGTTAAATTTTTTTCAAGTCACTTGTGCAAAGTGTCTTAAAACGTGAACCCAGTACATTTACCCCAATAGAGCCAGCAGTGGCAAATAAAGCAGAGGGTCTCACGTCAGCCCGGCTGCAGCCTGCGGTGGTGGGGCTGGCCAAAGCATGTGATCTGGATGCTTGAGTCTGAGAGAGAGAGCACGACAGAAGAACAGACTTTTGGGGGAAGAACGAGCTCAGAACTGACCCCTATGGGAATGAGAAGGCGGGCACTACACTCCATGTCGAACAACGGCGCCTGTGTGCAGCTACGACGGCCCTTGGAAAGGCTGATCCTAGTGAACATGCAGTCCTTGGTGCTAGCTCTAAAAGCCGAACAAGAACAAAACAAAAAAATAAAATCGTTTTAAATAGTTTTTACATCTTACATCAAAGATGCCACTACGAGAACACAATAGTATCACACGTTAATTAGTACAGTCTTCAAAATGCAAATCGACGCTGGTAAGACTTCCATACATTCTGCATATCATATGTACAGAAGAGAAGAGCTTCTCGAGAGGAGAGGACAGTCAGAGAGAGAGAATTTCCTTTTTTTTTTCTTTTTTTCTTTTTTTCTGAGTTGCGTAATACGAATACATTATCAGCATAAGAAAACTTGACTCCAACACCAAGAATTCGAGGAAGGTCCTAGCTGGGAGCTCATAGCGTGCTGCTGAGGGGCACAAAACACAGACACAGCCCTCCGCCAGGCTCTGTCCCCTCTCGTGAGCTGGTCGTCTGCTCTCCTTGTGCAGGGTGGGTTTCGCACGTCGCTGTGGGTACGTGTTCCTACAGCACGCAGCGGCACAGAGACAGATCCCGAGAGCTGCCCACAGCCTTTCTGAAGGCAAAACCCCTCTGGAAGTCCTCTCGGGCGGGTGCTGCCTGGTGAGAACTGGCCGGAGACTCAGAATATCACCACAGGAGATCACAACAGAAGTGGGGAGAAAAATTAACACATCACAATAGCTACAGGCAAGCACACGCGGGACACTAACAATTCCAGACAGCCGTAAGAAAACTATGCAGACCAAATTCGTGTAATTCGTAGTTGTCCCTCTCCTTTCCGAGTTGCAAAAAGTCTTTCTTAGGATATGTAGGTTTGCTTACCAAGCATTCGTCTAGAGAGGTATCTCCTTTTGCCAAGACACAGAATATGCTGAACGCCATGCTGCTGCATTTAGTCTGCCCGTGGTGGCTTACTGAAAATTAGGTTTGGTTCCTCTACTTTACGCTGCGACGCAGAGACAGCCTGGGGAGCAGTGGTGAGAAAGCTCTGTGGTCATGGACTTCAGAGGGAATGGGGCACCTGGATCCCTTCAGCTTTCGGCCGTGGGTTATTTCAATTTGTTAGCCCGCACAGCATCAGAAGCATTTGCCCAAATTCACACAAACCAACCTATAACTAGTTAATTCTGCATGTATTCTGTCACCGACTGGGCCATATTTGTAAATCAAAGGTATGAAGTGCTTCTGCCAGAAGATGTTCGTAGAGGTCACCTCGGGTTCAAGAGCAAATTAGCACTGAATACACAGATACAAACTACAGGACTGTGTGGATGGAAATGAAGAGAGCAAGTGGGAGAAGTAAGGGTACTGAAATGCAACTCCGTCTCCTTGCAGGAAATATGCAGACAGAAATAATCCCTAACTTGCTTAAACACTTCATTTTTCCTAGGCACAGCGAGCCCACTGCCACCTCGCTCGTAATTGCTCTGGCAGATCTGCTCTTGGGTTCATTGAGACTTCTCCTAGCACGTGAGCTACACGGCGTGCAGGGCTGAATCTGAGAGGATCTAAAACAAATAAATCAAGAACACAACTAAAACATGGATGAGGAAATGAAACAGAAAATGCCACAGAAACATGATCCTGTAGGGCATTCAAATGGCTAACACAGCACAATGTCTTTAGTAAGCTTCCTCCGATCTGTATCAAATTGAAACTCTGTTTTTTTGGTTGTTGTGGTGGTTTTGTTTTCTTTTGTTTTCTTTCAGATACTAATAAAAAACTAGTTGGTTGCCCTGGAAATGGGAATAAGCTACTGACAGGAAATGAAAAGGTGCTGGTGGCAAGGAGCTCCGGGTTCTCTCCCAATTAATCTCCCCTTCGATTGCAGCCAATTAACAGCACAAACTGTGATTAGAATTTAAGAGGATTTCCTCAGGTGGGTCTACTAATCACCACCATCCTGTTCAGGGGAGGGAACGGGAGGCCAGCCCTGAGGAGAGAACCAGAGGTCGCACCCTTGGCGCGTGCCTTTGACAGGCGGCAGGAAGAGTTTGAGCCCACCATCACTCCACTTTGCCACAATGACCTCTCGGACCACAGCACCAGGATGCTGCAGGCAGCATCAGGCTGAATTGGAAGATGCTGTTCCTGCCTGGAAGAAATCAGGTCTGCATGGGATAAGCCACAGGAGCAGAGAGCAGTCACTGGTCGGGTTCAGACTGCGGCACGTCAGCAAACACATGCTCAATAATGGAGACCACATTGTTCCAGGGGTTCAGCACGTTCCCGAAATGTTTAACGCTGCCACTGCTGAAAACAGTAAATAAATAGTGGGGCTGGCAAGGTACACGCTGGAGGGCCGAGGGCTGGGAAGCAAATCAGAAGCTGTTCCACCTACGTGTGTCCAGCCTGGCTCCTCCAGATGTCACAGGCCTGGGGTTTTTTATTTGTTCACAGGGAGATGGTGGGGATGGCAGCTACAAGAGGGGAGGGAAGCCTTGGGGAGCCCAGCACCCTGAGCCCTGGGAAAGGGGAACGCCTTTGGGATCAGATCAGGGCAAGAGAGGAGGATCTGAGACATCTCTCAGCTGCGGAGCAAGCAAACACAGCAGAGAGGGTGGCCACCGCGTGCTTCAGATGAACATCTTTGTGGCCAGACCCCAAACCCCAGTTTTAGCATGTGGTGACCCAGGGCAACACAGCCCCAACTGGAAGGATGAAAAGGAGCTGCTCTGTAATTACTAACGGGGAGCTTCGCCGTGGGGATTCAGACCCTGGTCTGAAGGCAGCAATGTGCCTCGCTGTTTTTCATTCCTCTTGTCCTTCCACTCCGTTCACCACAACCCAAGCTCTTTCTTGCCTTGCTCGTTGTGCATTAGCCAGCATTTTACAGGTGATATCTTAATCCCAGCTATACATAATAAAATAAGATGACCTGTGGGAGCCATGAGGAAATCCAATCTGTGCATTCCTGGCCTTTCTGGCTGTTTCTGGTTAAGGTATGGAGAGCATATCTGAAAAGCTTTTTCCCTCATCCTGTGAAAATCCCCATCCCTGAAACAACGATTAGCTCACGTGGACATCTGAAACTAACAGCAGCAAAAGCCAGACTGGAGCAAGGGATGCTGCTGGGACACTCAGAGCAGAGGTGGTTTCTGCAGGGGATGAAGATGCTCATCATGCTTTGCCCACAGCTACACTTGGAGCCGAACCAGCAGCTCCCCGGGGAGCATATGGCATTTCCCAACTGGGACACGGTGAGCAGCTCTGCAAGGGAGAGCAGAGCCGCTTCTGCAGCTGCACGTTCGTGCTAAAGGTGTTTTAAAGAGCTTTTTGCCAGCAATGCTCTGCCTGGATGCGCAGAGCAGAGCTGCCCGGTTAGGAGATGCCATTTCCATGCTAGTCTTACGTGGTTCTGTGGGCCTGGCACGTCGCTGCCTCGTGTCTTATCTGCCTGGTGCACGAATCAAAAACTCCTCTTGGAGCCCTGCTCAGCTGCCTGCTGCTTGCCAAGCTCCTCCATGTCTCTGAGCATGGCTCTGCCCGTGGTACCAGGGAAACCGACTTCCCCCACTTCCAGGCTCCTACGTGAGATCACACCCAGCACGACAGAGCAATGAACACGTCCGAATATTTGTGCAAAAGACAGATAAAATGTCCTTCTCCACTGGTCTCACACCAGAGACCCCCTGGACACATGAAACTGAGAGAGAACCATGAGAAGGACAAAAAGAGGAGCTGGTGTGCCGGGTGTTCAGGACAGGTCTTGCCCAGCCCTCCTCAGCTCATTTTGCTTTGCGTCCCTGCACCAGGCCCCAAAAGCAAACTCTTTTGGAGAAAGCCTCCTTTATCCTGCTGTGATTCTGCATCTTCACGGGTGTTGCTAAAAATAAAAGAAGATTCTTTTATAACAGCTGGGACAGCTGTGCTCACTGCGGTGCAGGGGGCTCCCTCCCACTGCCGCGTGTCCCCAGGGACCTGCCACTTGTCACCGTGTCCCCCTGCTCACATGTACCGGGCATCATACGGCCACGGCCACGTTCTCATCTCGGCTTATGCCGCGGATTAGGGCTCAGCACCAGCTACCACAGCTCACCCAGTTTCCATGAGTCAGCCGAGCCCGGGTTCAGCTCATGGGGACAGGTATTAATCTTAGGGACCTGGGGATGTGTGAGCTTGTCTTGTGCCCCTGGGCACTGCTGCTGCATGCAGACCATTTCCAGGCACAGAATTTGCACACTTCTGGCTCTGTGTTTTAAGCAGCAGTGTCCTGAAAAGGCGGAGGTCATGCTTTCTAGCAGAGAACAACAAAGGACAAAATGCCACAGCAATAAGGTAAAAATCCTAAAAGCTCCCAGGAGGAACAGCACAGCCCCATTATCTCAGGAACACTCCCTGCTGTGAACTCGCAGGGCTCCGAATCACGTCGAAACATAGATCTTTTTTCAGCCCCTCTCAAGCCCTAAGTGCTCACAACGCACACACGCTGCTCTTACAAGGGTTGTGCTCCTCTTTCCCTTCCCAAAGCACTGCCAAACAAAGACGGCAAAGAGCCACAGCCACAGACATCACCCGGCATCTTCTGGCCCAGAATTTCGCGAGCTATGTGGATCAGGTCTGCGTGCTGGATGTGCTCATTAATTCATCTGGATAATAACTGAGTGGAGGTTACCTTTCCCACCAGCAAGTACTATTAGAGGAGGTATCTGCGAAATTGAGAGGTGACATGCAAGAGCATGTGCTGTCTGCCAGCCTTCCTGTACGGAAATATTTCTAATTGATCTCTTCAAAGTGCCTAACTTGCTGCATAATTTTATACCGGAGAGGTCGGTCATTTTGTTTTCAGAAGGTTTATGCAATGACTGCAAATGTTAATGGTAGCAAAGCAGAAAAACACAATCCTGCATTCAATGCTTCAGTTCTGCTGCTCTGAGGTCTGCAGATGCTCCCATAACCAGCCCCGCCAGGGCTCACTTTCAAAGCACACGCAGAGGCAGAGGCAGAAAGGGATAGTTAATAATTTAAAACAACACCAGTCATCAGCGGTAGGCAGGTAAAAGAGTAACCTTCGTTCATTCTGTAAATGTTTATACAACACTTTTATCTGCAGCTATGTCCTCTGCAGCTGGGGGCTAGCTCTTATTCTTCCAGATCTCATGAGCTGTGGAAAGAATTACATCTCCGCTGGCCTGGGGTCACGTCGCAGGTTGTGTTTTCCAACGCGTGTCGGGCAGCATTAACACGTGAAACCCCGAAACTACCGAGCAAAAACAAGCTGAAGTTAGGTGCTGGGCCAGAAATGCCTTGTAAAACTAAAAAGAGATGGAATGCAGATGCTTAAATAAAAGGCGACGTCTTAAAAGTCTTAGTCATGTGCAAAAAGTCTCAGTCACAACAGCAAAAGGAAGATGGGACCTGAGGAAGCCTTCACATCCATCCCCAATAAGTGCCATAAGTGCCAGCTTTTATAGGTCTGGGCTCTACGGGAGGGCAGGCACAGGTCCAAGCTGTGCACAGGATGCCTGCTGGAGGTTAGGGAGAAATAGCAAAGGGACTGGAAGAATCAGTGCAAAATTTGCCCGCATGCTCGTAAGAGCTGAGAGCACGAAGTATTGCGAGCTGTTCGCGTCTGTGCTCGGGCCTCTCCTGCTTTCTCACTCTCCCCCACACACCTCTGCTCAGGATTTTAATTAATTTCACAGGAATAAATCATCAGTTGGCTTTCTGTGATCATTTGAGACAAAAGTGTGCGCCTGAAGATTTTTATTATGTGCAATTAGCCACTCGTGATAGTTTTAGTACAACTGATTAACAATGTTATTTTTAATTTATTTTTATTTTATTTTAATAGGCTTTGCATATCAAACCTGGCAAAGCAAATGGTAATGAGAAATTAAGTCTAGGGATGTTTTTTTTTTCTCTCTTAATTATCGTACACGCTAGCTAGTGTTCAACAAAAAAATTATTCACACTCGGCTCCTTTTTCATGACTTCTAATTAGTACTTAGTTAATCATCATCTGCGAAGCAGACTTACTTCACTCCTGTTTATTTTAAATTAAGGCTACCGGGGGATTAGCATCTACAAGGCCACTTGACGAAGCGCCAGCCTCGCCTGCCAGCCACAGGTCGTCCTGCCGAGCCCACCGCCCGCCCGGACACCTCGCCAGGGGGATCACCGAGCAGCCTGCAGCTAATGACAGATTAATGCCAATTTAGCCAGCGTAATGCCTCCAGCCACCAAAAGCCTTTCTGTCGCCGCAGCGCTCGTACGGGTACCGAGCAATCCCACGCCTGCACCCCAGCTTTGGACGCAGCGCCTCTGGCCAAAAGGACGGAGGTTTTTGGGTTTTTGCAGCGGCAGATTTCAGAAGTCCTGCGTCTAGGCGAAAAGATAAACATTCAACATTTCTCTGGGAGCTGATCTTTTTTTTTTTTTTTTTTTGTCCTTTTAATTTTTATATATATAAATATACCGTAAAGCGTACCATTTCCTTGTTTCAGTACAGACTTTTGAGCTTTACTAAAATAAAGGAAATATAAATGCTACAACGTTATGCTTAAAACAAGGTTTGATGACGGCCTTCCCCCTCGGAGCAGGCCCAGAAATTGCGTCAGCTACGTGGAGAGAGACAAAAACACCCCCAAAACTTCGTACTGCACAAGAGCATTCAAAAGAGCTGGTTTGCCTCAGTTTTAGCTGCTTGCAGGTGTGCATCATTTCCTTGGCTCAATGCCCACTCTCCTTCGTAGAAACTAGTTTATTACTAACCTGAAAACTTCACATTCAACACGTGTCTCCCTTAAATTCATCGTCAATACCCAGTTTTTCAACATCCGTGCCTGCTTTTGCTGACCCCAAATGGCAAGAGGTATCGTCAGTTGTGGATTTGGGGATCAGGACTGCAAACTGCTGGATTTTCAGATAAAGCCGTGCGAAACCAACCACTGTAAACCAAGGAAAAGCTGTTGATTTTTTTCCTTTTCTTTTCTTGAAAATGTTCACAGCATTGAAACAAGGAGGTGTAGGAGCAGGGGTGCGGATGGTGCAGCCCTCACCGGTTGCGTACGATCGTCATCCTCTCTCTGAGCTTCACTGGTGCCTCCTGGACAGGAGAGGAGGTCCCAGGCGAGTCCTGCCCCATCACAACCCTTTTGCTTCAATCTCTGCTACACTTTCAGATCCTCTGGGTGAATGCTCTGCTACTAAAGCAGCAACCTCAGACCTATCGGTATGTCTTGCTGCCAAGGGTTTTGTTGTTGGTTTTCTCTTTCTCAACGCATACTTTCCAAAACAGACACATTAAAAATGAAAAAAAAATAAAAAACCTATAAAACAATGATAACACCACAATATCTGTTTAAAACAGTACTGCCCATGCTCTGGACACATTGTTAAGAGCAATTCAGCATTCGTATAATTAATCCACGACAAAAGAAGCTATAAGATGCCACAAAAGAAGGCATAATTGGCCATACAGAGGCAACACTACCATGAATGTTGTTTGGCAAGGGGGAAAAAAAAAAAAAAAAAAAGCAGATACATAATTCATCCAAAGACTGGGTTCAGAACTGCCCGGCACTGCTGGGGTCGCACTGCAGGAGTCGGACTATTGACGGGTCGCTCTTGGCGCCTCGGATGAACTCTTCCAGAGAGAGCTTTCCTGGAAAAGAGACACGTTGGCTTAGCGCGGTGGGTCTGCAGAGCTGCTGAGCCTGCAGGCACGTGTGGTGGAAGGAAATTAGCAGGGGGCGAGGAAAATCCCTGGGGGTGCAATGGCAGATGGGATGCTGGTTTGGAGGAAGGATGGCTGGGGGTTGGTGGCCACAGAGCAGCACTTTCTGTGGGTGCCAGAAGGTGCTGTGGTTCCTGCTCCCTTTCCTTAAGGAAAATAAAAAGGTGTGGTGTCCCAAAATCTTCCTACAGGGAGGTAGGGATGAGCTAAGGCCAAACGTTCAAGCCCTGGTTACGGCTGAGGTGAGACCCTGGATAGACCTCCTTTCAAAGAAGAGGCCACAGACACATTGATTTTTCCCATGGTTCAACAATTTCCTGAGGTTTTATGGAGATAAGAGTTATTTGGGCAGAAGTTTGGGGTGGTTTTACTTGTTTGCCTTCAACAACAACCCTTCCGGGTGGGAGCAGACAACACAGACACGGGCTTTTAAAAACCTAAAATCCAGGCAAATCCATACCCTGCTCCTCAGTGGAAAATATTGTGTGTTTACTAAGAGATAACCATCTCCCACTGCGAAGTTAATGAACCGACAGGAAAAGAAACAGCATTTGAGAGGAAAGCAAAAGACCAGGCTGTGGGTTCCTGAGCGATGTTTCTGAGCACTGCACCCCTCTGAGCCCTGCTGGGTGGTGAGGAGGGACCACGGGCACCGTGGCTTGGCCCAGGGGGCTGGAGGAGGAGCGGTGAGTCCGAGGGGACACCCGGCACCTAGAGGGAGCCTACCGTCACGGTTGGTGTCCATCTGACGGAAGATCTTCTCTGTCCTCTTCTCCGGTGTTGACTCATCTTCCGGCATCTTCATGACAGAAGAAACCATCTTATAGATTGCCTGTGTGATAGGAGAGCGGCAAAGAGCTGGTAAGAAACACGTTATCTTAGTGTGGGGGTATGGTTATCTCCTGGTGGCCAAAAGAGGCAGAAAATCTCCCCAGAGCATCGTCTGGGATCTGCTCTGCAGACGCTGAGGGGAGTGGGTGGCAGCAGTACACGCAGCTGCCCTCTTCAGTGGGACACTCGTTTAGAAAATAACGTGTTGCCTTATTTAGTCACAGCTGAACACAATCTGGGCTTGTACTGAGCTTACATTTTCCATTATGAAAACAGTCTTTGGGTGAATTTATCACTTCAACTGCACTTAGGCACCAGCAGCTCCCGGGATGTGGGGAGCAGAAGGACCGCCGAGGACTCATCCCGTGTTGAAGCTCACCTCAGTTTCAGCCACCCGGGCTCCATCCTCACCTCTCCTGTCCTTCTCCCCACCCTGTGTGCACCCATCTGCCTTCTCCCTGCTCGGCTGGCACCCTGCCCGTGAGAGCAGTGACTCATCCCTGCCTTTGCCAAGCCTCACAGATAACAAAGGCTTGACCAACAACGAGGTGGCCTTCTCCTCGTGTGCCTCCACAGCTAAAAAAGCACCATTCATAATTCGTTCCACAGGGAGCAGATGTCCTGGTCCTGCACAGCACGGCTGCCACTCATGCTCACTCTTTGCACAGACAAATCCATTAGTCCTGCACCATCCCAGCTGCCCTACAAGAGAGGTAACTTTAACTTTAAAACATGAAAGAGTGATGACCACTTCTTTGCTTCGCCTTGCCCTGGAGGCTGGGTCCTTCTGCGGGACCCAGATGGCTCACTGTGGCTCCCCTTCCCCACTTTCCACCCATGAAAGCACTTTGCCTGGCACACCACAGTTTTTTGGCCCAGGGACAGCCCCAGGACCATGACAGCTTGGGCTCACCAGCTGGAGGATGCTGCTGAGCAGCACGGACACTTTACACACAGCCATTGCCTCGGCCATCCCACTGCCTTCTCCTCTGTCAGCAGAGCCAGCTCACCTTTCAGTCTGCCTGGCGTTTAAATAACATCAAGCATGACACCCCGAGAAAGGCATTTGTCTGTTTAATGAAATATTTATCACTTAGGCTCAGCACAGCTGAACATCTGCTCCCCCAGTTTTGTCACCAAGGCTGAGGCCACAGATTCCCTGGTTTTCCCTCTGCTGAGTCTGTAACTCTGGTGGTAGACCCTAATGGGAGAACATTTCAGCATGGACAATGGCTGGATGAATGGGACCATGGTGGGTACCCTTTTAATCGTCATTATTTTGAGTTGCAGTGCAGGGATGCCCAAAGGCTCCCAAGAGATTTAGGGTGCCAGAGTATGAGCCTCAGTAGATGCTGTCCATACAGTCTTGATCATCTGACAGCCAGGAGGACAGAAGAAGGGATGAACAAGCAGGCAAATGAACACTGGGGGCAGGGGAAGAGAAAAAGAGGAGGTGGCAGGCAGTGAGAAGTCGCACCCGCCTCATCCTGATCAGCATGCAAGGCTCACGGGGATCCAAGCGGTGAGGAGGCTCATAAACCTGCCACTGTGTAAGCATCTTAAGCTGTCTGGCTTTTGTCTGGGGGAGGAAGAGAGGTGGAGGGGTCATTGCCTCCCTCGGGGCGAGAGGATGGCAGAATCTCTATTGAAAGTGTGGGAGGAATGCCCCGGCCCTGGAGCGCAGCCGTGTTTACTCTGATCAAAGCAACCATAGTAAGAATATGCAGATTTTAAGGACAAAAATAAATAAATAAATAAATAAAGCTCTTCAAGATGACTTCATCCTACAGGGTCCTTTTCACAGAGGCATGTGAAGCGAATAACAGATGAGATATTCTAGGAAAGCCAGATGGGAATAACATAGTGAGCGTTCCTTTCATGCTGAAAATGGTTACTCTGGACAAATTCTTCTGCCCTTACTCAGAAGCTCAGTGGGAAGTTTTCCCAAAGTGAAAAACAGCTCAAACTGATTCGGGATCTTGGGATTTGCCCCGTGCTAATTCAGTGCAGCTACACAGGGCTCTTGATTGTGGGTTTGTAAAGGATGAGCTCTGAAGGAAGCTGGTTCCTTGCAGTGGTCTCATGGAGCTGGGCTGTGCTCACCTTGGGCCTGGGACCGAAAGGGCTGGGGCTCTGCTCCATGTGGAGCAAAGGCCTTGGCCTCACCATGTTGGGGTGGAAAGGCAGCGGGGGCACTAGGCAACCTGAAAAAAAAATTGCTTTCCTCTCAGCCCAAATGGGATTTTTGATGCTACCTCTACGGAGAGCCGTATCAGCTTCTGCTTCTTCCCATAGCAGCTTCTGTTTCTTGCTGTCTTACAAATAAGCTAGCCAGGCAAGTGAAATGGATGTCCTCTTGTCCCTATTAAAATAAAAGTGTTACTCTCATCTCTTGGCTAAGTGCTCTTGAGGTGCCTTATGATTCCATGGTGTGAAAAAATGTGCCCCTAGAACAAGGCTCCCGTCTTTTATTTGAAGGCTTGTTTCAAGACACTCTTGCCAAGTATGTCCCACTTCATCCAGGGGAGCAAACACAAACCTTCCAGCCGGCTATTCTTTGAGTGGTCTGGGCTATTTAGGTTATGGGTAAACATCTGAGGGATATGAAAAGCATTTCTAGAGCAGGAGGACCTGCGGTGAGGCCTGGCAGGAGGGCAGGCTACGAAACTCCTTCCCACAGTCCTTGCAGATGTGCTGTGCATGGTAGTAGCACCACAATGGCTTCAGGAAGTTGTTCTGGACCATTCGTAGTGCCATTGGTGGCACTAAGCAAGGAAATTCAAGTAGCCATCAGCATAACAGGGAAAATGGCTGCAGAGAAATGGCTGTAAAAGCACAAGGAAAAGCAGAGTGAGAAAGGAGAGGAGCGTGGCTTGCTTCTCTTCCCCATTATTTCAGGTGCAGTAAACTCTGGGCACCCTGGAAGTGTAATGGGGGTGGTGTTTTTTGCAGTGAAACTGTGACTTTTAGACTGATTGCATTTCTTTTAGCGTCCATTTTGATGTATTGTCTCATGCAAGAATCCAGATGAAAACAGTAAATCCTGCTATATCAACATGCAAATGTGTGCTAGATAAGGGACTTGTAATAGGTTGCTCTGAGACATGTATCAGAGATATTAGAGTTCTGTTTTTCACTATCAGTGGCTTAGGGTGCCCAGGCAGACATCTGATGCAGAATCCTGTCTTTCCATATTAAAGAATAATCATCTTTTGTTAATGAAAGTGATAGTTGCTAGCTGCTTTCTCACAAGTCTGATCACCGTGTATCAAAGGTATCTTGATAAAGCACAAAAGGTGCTCCTTTACTTGGTTCATTTATCAGCTGAAGGTGCTTCCAGAGACCGTGCAGCAAATCCTACCCAACAGGGAGGAGCTGGGGCTGGCCCGTGCAATACGGGAACATCAGCATGGCCATGAAAACTGGAAGAAGAGATCAGGGCGAGATCTACAAATCAACTGCCTCATGAAAGGGGTAGCTTTCCTGACTGTGCATGTACAGAAATCTCTGATGAAAGACTGGCCCCCAGGAGGCTCCCCCTGAGCACCAGGACAGTGGGACGACACGCCGGTCAGCCTGCAGGGTGGTATTACACATGCCCCCTTGTGACACTTGCTTGTCCATTTCACTTTTCCCTTTTTCCAGCAAAGAATGTGATTTCAGAAACATGAAACAAAACGATCATTTCCATCCAGTGTGGATTTAGGTTGGAGGTACAGATGGACAAAACATCACCCTGCACTGACCCTTCTGCTGCAGCTTTGTTTCCTGATGGCAGCATGGTTGTGAAAGACAACAATACAACTTGGTACCAACGTGAGGATGAAGGAGAGCGAGCATTTCAGCCTCTAAACATGATGGTGAGCAGATCCGTGGGAAATGGGAAAAGCTGCCAGTTCTGCTGGCCCTAGCTTGGATCGCTGCAGAGATCCCAGCCACTGATGTTCTCATTAAATTCGACTCAAACACATTTGTGGGCTTGTCCTTTGTGTTTGTAAACCTTCTGATCTTGGGGGTTTATGCTGCTGTCGAGCACTCAGGCCTTCCCAAAATACTTGTCAGCAGGAAGGGGTCCTGCAGTCTTTGAGGCGCCTTCTCCTGAGGAACAGACACTTGCTTGGGCTGGGCTCCCCTGTCTTTGCTTTGTGCTTTTTGTTGGTTCTTTGGGGATTCTCTTTGTTTTTTATGGATGGTTGTTTGGTTTGTCTTTTTTTTTTTTTTTTTTTTCATAAGGAGAAATACAGCCAGAAAAACAATAACTGGCAGCCTGTTTACCCTGCCTGGGGGAGTGGAAGATTTGTAAGGAACAGAGCATCTTCTAATGCAAATATTCCATGGAGTCTGCCGTGACACTCAGACAGGGAGGTGTCTGCAGCTCAGCGCAGTCCTGCTTCTTAACCCAGATACAAGAATGCAAAATAAAACCTGAAAGAGAGCTCAGCAACCCTACATTTGCAGCAGAGACATGTATCTGCTCTTACCAAAGCAGCGTGAGTGCTGGTGTTTGTTACTGTTTGGAGGACACAGAAGTGCCCTGATAAAAAGACAAGGGCACCACGCATTAAACTGATTCCATACAGGCAGCTTGCCATCATGGACTGTAATTTGAATGCATTCCTTTCACTTCATGTCCAGCACAAATATAAATCTGAATAATACAGTGCATAGCTAGCATGGCAACCCCCCCCATGAAATAAAAAATCTTGATAACAGGCTTTTTTTTTTTTTTTCTTTTTTCTTTTTTCTTGTATGGTGCTGCCTTTCACAGACTCAAGCTGTGTAAATACACTACCGTACCAAAAATGTTTTAAAGCTTTCAGAAGAGTGATGTGCCTCGAGGCTGAAAGCATGTTAGAGGAAGACAAAATGAGGTGGGACTCCTACTAACAGCACAAGGAAATGCATCCAAAGAAGCTGCGAAGGGAATCATCATCTATCCAGATAAGGTTTATCTATACTGGCAAGTTAATATGAAGATAGCTAGCATGGCATTAAGTATGCAGACATTGCTGGAGTTAGACAGGCAGATATGTTTTAAAATATGTGAGCTGGTTTTTAATAGTAAAGTGGTTTCAAAGTAAATTTCTTGTAGAGGGAGCCTGCCTTCCTTAACAGTAGAAAACCTGGTTAATCTAAGATACTTGGTCCAACTGTAATTAATTGTAATTCCTTGACAGTGATTTCCCAGAGGACAGAACCACATTGATCATCATGCTAGCTGCTGTGCTCCAGCCCAGCAGAGCTCCTGGAGGAGAGCTTCCCATGCAGCACGTTGCTCAGGAAAAAAAAAACCTACATTGGATATCAAATGCAATAGTATGGATTGTGACAAAACCTTTGCCAAATGAAATAACATTTTAGATTCAAGCACTAGACAGAGAACCTAGAGCATAACCCCCCAGATGCTGCCAGAGCTTTCCACTCAGTTCTCCTTGCGGCATCTCTCCGTGCTTTGTCTGGAACGAGGGAGGCAAAGGGGTGCCTCTGAGCAGCACGTACCTGCACGATTTCCAGCATCTCCGACTTGCTGATGTAGCCGTTCCCGTCGAGGTCGTACATGCTGAATGCCCACTTCAACTTCTGCTCCAGTTTGCCTCTCGACGTTACGCTCAAAGCTATGATGAATTCTCTGAAATCTATTGTTCCGTCTCCGTTGGCGTCAAAAGTGCGGAATACGTGTTCCGCAAACTTAGAAGCGTCCCCATAAGGGAAGAAGTTCCCATATATTTTTTTAAACTCCTCCATGGATAAGTGTCCACTTGGACAGTCTCTCAAGAAGCCTTTGTACCACTCCTGGATCTCATGCTCTGTAAAGTCTGTACTTTCTAGCAAATCTTGCATGACTTCAGGGCGTAGCTTGCTGTTTTGCTTTCCCATATTGGTGACAAAATATTACCTGCAGAGGAAAAACAACTTCATTTAAATTATAGTAATTAATAATGTTTGTCAAGATTAATAACAAGTAGTTTGGAGGCTTTAGAAGGACAGTGTGATGGAGTTTTCTGATGATAGTTCACACTTGGGAATCAACCAAATCTTTGGGATGTGTACCCTACTACAAGAACAATCTAAAAAAACTATCCAGACTAACTTAACGTTATTTACATTACCTTTTCACAGTCTGGAGAACTGTAATTATGTCAAATTTATCCCACTTTCCTTTTTACATCACAATGTAAGCAGTAGGCTGTGTGCTGCGGCACAGCCTCCAGCCAGGGCACCCAAATAACTCAGGGACCTCACCTGGAGGAGCTACCATTTTTATAACCCTGGTTGAAACCAGGCTGCTGCAGAAGATTACTTTTCCTTGGTCTTGCTTCAAAATGGGATCAGAGTGCATCTGCAGTGTGCATTGAAACCAGAACTGCACTTCTAGACACATCTTTATAGCCAGAGTCAATCGGAGCAACCCATAAATTACCTCTTCTGTTTGGCAGGGACCAATTCTCATTTCAATTTAAATGCAGATTAAATCTGGCAAGATTTTATCAATGGTGGATTCCCCCACCCCAAACTAAAAATGTTTTTTTAAATTCTCCTTGTAGCTATAAATTGGAGCTATAACTGAGCAATAGTGAGCTGGGTGGTCATGGCTTTTAGAAAAAAAAAATACCCAGACAACAAAACTGGAAATTCATTTCACTTAACAATTAAGGAATATTCTTGGATGCAGCTTTTATCTCCGTTGTTTCAGTTAAATCACCCTAGTTCTGTTTTATTTAAGGCAAGTTGCTGCATAGCACATTGTGCAGCAGATTTGCTAACGATTGATGCCCTTTGGGTTTTAGGTTTAGGGGCGTGACTGCATTGGCTCCAAAAGTCAGCATCATCAGTTTTACTGGAAGCTTAGCATTATACCAGAGTTGTGGGAAGCTGTGCTTTATCGACAGAAACCTGCCTGAGAATTTATCATGGGAATGACAGTCACCACTAAAACCTGATGTATGGACAACTTCAGCAGAATTGCAAAATAATTTATACAAGACTCCCACGCTGTTGTCAGAACAGAGTCTTCGAGTTGCAGAGATGGATTTATGAATTATATCTAGTGTGGCAAATGAACATCCAGTGAAATGTTCTTTCTAGATCATGGTAACACTTTAAATAGAGAAAAAAAAAAATTGAGGAAGAAATTGAGGCTCCCCCTGACTGGTGAGAAGCTGAACTTCTCGCAAGATGAATTTGAACCCCCCCAGGAATAAGAAGACAGCCTTAAAATCTCCTGTGTTCTTGAACCACAACAACCCAAAAGCTGTATTGCTCAAAGGTAAAATGGGGGGATCCATCCTAGATCTGGCCGTGCTTCACAGGATCCATGGCTGGCTGGTAGACAGATTTCTAGTCTGAATTGCTGCCCCTGCCCATAGGAAGGCTGACAGGGGTCCTGCCTGCCTGAGAGCTTCTCCATCTCCTGACATTTCAGGGCCCTGGATGACTACCTTAATCCAAATGATGTCTTTTCCCCCCAGTGCATCTCTAAAACATTCGGAAAGTGGAAGATACAACCTCAAAGGTACTTTTTTCTGTTGCCTTTCCTCCTGACGAAAGCCTACGGTGCGGTTTATAAGTCATCCAAGCTCTTAATACCCTGAAAATGGCAAAAATGTCTCTGTTTTATAGGCCATTTCCAACAGCTGCCGAGGCAGCTGAGGGTTGTGTTGCCTTCAGCTGGCATTGGATGGGGTCCACAATAAACAACCCGGGGGTGAGCTGAGCAAATGGACCACATGGGAAGGGTTTAGGCTAAGAGGAACGGCAGGAGCAGGCTCTGCCAGTAGGACACTAAAGCACCTGGGCAAGTGAAGTGGTGAGGCTTGGTTTCAAACGGCACCAGTTTAACAAAAAGCAAGGAGCACAGTCCCCAGAGCTTTTAGCAGCTCCCCACGCCCACGGCCTGCCACTGCTCCATAGCCCCGGGGCTTTTCAGAGGGTGAGAGGAGGAAGGGAAGGTCTCTGAATCACGCGCAAGCCAGCTGCAGTAGGAGGGAGCTGGCATTAGCAATATAATCCCTCGCCTCCTTTTAATACCTCAAACATCAGAAAATGCAAAACTCAGCCTGTGCACTTCCACGGTCTTATGAAAAACAAAATCGTGGGGTAGTGTGAAGTCTCTGGCCTTCGTGAGGCAGCCAAAGGTGATGTGCTTCAGTCCAAAAAATGGTGCATTTGTAGCTGCACATGGCTGCAGGTGCCACATATTTTTACCAAGTAATAAAAAAAAATATATATATAAAAAAAAAAACACAACAAACAAAACAAAGAATAACAGAACAGCTTTTGTTCTTTGCCTTTTGTTGGTAACAGCAAAACATCACAACGAGAAAAATCTGTTTTCCAGGCACAAAGGGAGAACCAATCGTACGTGGCTTGCAGAAAGGGGATGAGATTCATAGCCGCCGTGATTCCAGGCAACACAGTCAAAAGCTGTGGTATTATTCCTGAGTACACTTGTGCTGAATATGTATCATGGTCTTTGCCCTCCAAATTGTTCATTATTAATAGCCGGTGTTCTAGGAACAATAACGAAGGGATTTATTGTGCCCATTCTATCAACAACAGATCAAAATGCTTTTGCAGTCCAAGTACAGAAAATCCTTGAGGACACTTGAAGATCCTTATAATCACTTCATACGCTGCTGCCTGCCTCTTCAGGACAGATTGGATTATGGACAGAGTACAGTGAGCTAAGAGTCTTTCAGTTAGCAATGGCAGCAATAAATACAAAGGATGAAATAAAATTGGATCTTATCTCAGGCCTTTTTTCCACAATTTATCGCCTCTTGTAGATCTTTCAGAATTGTAATAAATTGTTAGACATTATAATGGAGCAAATAAGTAGTGAATGGCAATGACAATTGCAAAGTAAAACATTGACAATTCTGAAAAATAATGGCTGGAGGTGTACAAAACAAAGAGATTTTTTTTTTTAATGATTATGTTTAATTACATTTCTGCACCAGTTTCTTCCTGTAATACAATGGTGCTGGACATAATGTACACAAATGACTTCTTGTGTGGGTCAACATGACATATGAAAATATTAACGTCTTATTTCTGAGGAAAATATTGTTTGGTAAAAAAAGGTGTTGTTGATGCCTTTATGGCTTGAAGAGCCCATACCATTTCAGCCAGCAGAAGATAGAAGATGGTAAAGGGAAGTGTCACTGCTGTGTGGTTGCCATGGGAAGAATCTGTTTGCTAGTTACTGTAGGAAATGTCATAGGGGATGCTCCATAAATCAAATATTTAGAGCTAGATCTAATCAGGCCTAAGTGTGGAGTTTTGCAGATGGGACTGAAGGCAGAGCTTGTTGGCAGACAGCACGCCGTGGTAATTCTATGAGAATAAATAAATGAAACAGTGACCGGCTCCTGCTGGGCTGCCTTTCCCTGGGGCGCAGACGGGACAACAGAGCTGCTCCAGCCTTCTCCTCAGGCAGAGAGACCTGGTGGACAGGAAGGCAACCAGCCTTCTTCTGCACCATGTCCCCAGACAGCGCGTGCAGTTATCACCTTTACCTGAAACCTCACGATAAAACGACCGTATCGCCTGTCCCCTGGGGACCCGCCTGCTGACACCACAGCAGCCCAGGGCACGCAGCTAAACCATCATCATCATGTATGTGAATACAATGGAAGCATCTGAACATATTTCTTTAAAATAAATAAATATATATATTTCTGGCTGTAACATAAGCAACTGCTAGCAACACATTTCTAACAACGGCTGTGGTGTGGGATGCACGAAGGGTATTGTATATTCAAATGCTTACAAGATCTGTTGCCCTTTTACCTTGACACCCATCACATAAAGACATTCTTTTATTTTTTTTTTCTCTCCCCAGTTCCTGGAGGAACTGCTGAGAAAAAGTACAATGAAAAAAAGAGCACTTGTCCAGGGAGAAGTGTTGCTCTGAAAATGGAAAATGTATAATGTTGGGCAGGTTGTAGCTAGCTTGTTGAAAGCATTTGAAAGATGTAAAGAACCAGTGGAGACACAAGTCCTGCCCAATATATTTCCAACGGGGACAGCGAGACAAATCACACCATAGACTTGTCTATAGAGACAATCTCTGTCAAAATGAAGGCAGACCACTACCATCCTGCTCGGCCAGCAGCATGGCTCTGTAATGTTAAAGAAAGTTACGAACCATTTCTTTGTTTGTCTTCGGAAACTGCCACTTCTTGGTTTATTATACACACAGTCTGATCTGTTTCCAAGAAAAAATCCACTTACGGGACGATGCTGTCTTTACGTTTCTAACACCTAATTTGAGAACTTCCTTGAGAATAGCGGTGGTATTTCGCTCTCTGCCAGGCAGCCGAAGCAGCTCCTGCCAGCAGCTGGAACGAGCTGAGAGCTGAGTGGGATAAAAGCATCACTCTGCAACAGCTTTCCTGCCCTACCCACTGACAGTCATCTCCTGCCACTGCATGCCAGCCTCCACGGCACAGCGTGTGGGGATCCAAAAGCTCATTTCCCTGGCCTTCTCCTTCTGCAGCTTCAGAGACACCCGCGGCTGCTCCTCATCAGTGCCCTAACACGCAGGGAAGGAATGCCTGGTCACAGGAATCAAGGCCCCTGAGAGTATTTTCTGGTAGAAAAGCTAGGTTTCCTTCTTAAGGTCGGTTATTTCTCTAGGCTGTAATGCTGCTAACCACTGTGCAAACTGCAGTGAGACAGTTCAAAGCAGCAGCTACCTAAAATTACACATTTTCTTCGTATCTCTGCATACTGCTTCCCATGGCAGGAATGCTGTTGTTAGCGTGGGCTGATAACCCATGCAGGCCCAACAGCAGGTGGACCAGGCATGGATTTTCACTGTGGGTCGTCCAGGGGAGGTGGCGTGTCCTTGTCACCTTGTAGCTCTCCAGTGAGGCCTGGGTTGTCCAGGGA